TGGGATGGGATGGGATGGGATGGGATGGGATGGGATGGGATGGGATGAGACTGGGTGGAACGACAACACGCACCACAGTACCGTAGAAAAACGGTGCACCATCGTTCCACTGCTGCCCGTTTTGAGCCACCGAGCCGAGCACCACACCCTTATCCAGGCTCGGACGCCAAGCCTGAGAGGCAGGTTCGGACAAACCCAAGTCACCACAGCATGCACCAGGTTCGTCAACTTCCCAGCAGATTGAGAATTGCAATGCAACAGCAGCTGAAATCTAAAACAAACCCCCAAGGCAACAGGCAATATATGCTACTTCTAGCATGAATTATTACGATTATAAAAAAGTATCACCTGAAGTGCAAATTCCATCGGGTTATCCGACTGGTAACCATCTTTTCCCCCGGGAATGCCGAGATTCGTCTGCGAGTACGGATGCCTGGGAGCGAGCCGCGGCGCGAAATCCCCCTGATTCCATCGCGACAGCGAGAACGGAATCGGGCCCTGACCCTCGATGTCTACGATAATGTTGTTCTTGTCGTCCCCGTTATACTCACGCACTAGCGACGCGTTCATAGAAACTTTCATACTAGTCACACTCGTGCCCCAAAAGGGGAGCGGAACGTCTTCGGGGCTTAAAGCCCGAGGCACGACGGCGTGAATAGGCTCGTACGGGCGAGAATAGGCGCTAACCGGACACGGCGATACGGAGAGGAAGACTAGGAGAGCAGCAACGACGAGAAAAAGCCGACCCCGTCGAAGAGTCGAGTCGCGAATGCACGCTGCACACATGGCTTCGAGCTGGTATATGAAGTAACTTCTCCCTAGTTGTTCTAAACAAGCAGCAGCAGTGCGACTAGAAATCACTTGCACTTCCGAGCTTGGTGCCTTCGGCAGTTCGTTGGCTGTGTTTCTGGAGAAAATCCCCTAGGTGAACTGGTATAACATGCTTCATAATAAGCATTAAGGAATCCAGACGAGAGACATGAGCTGCAAATAGGGAAACGACCTAATGGTGTTGCAATCATGTCATGTTTACTCCACCAATGGCTTAAAGCCCGAGTCTAGAATGGTAAGGCTTCAAGATTACTGAACTTGAAAGGTGTTGGGAAAGCGACGGAATGGGCAAGCGATGGTCATGTGAAGGCCAGCGACATGATGGGAGAGCATGGGAGACACTCAGAGTAAGCGTGGGCGACGGACGCGGGAAGGGAGAGCCACCTAAAAGGCGACGGGAGGGGAGGCGAATTCAAGTTCAAGAATCTTGAACTTGAAAAGTTGCCATTCTAGACTCGGGTTTTAATTTCTCAAAACATCAATCCACGCTTTCCCGCCTTCAATTCCCGAAGAAAGGAAAACATTTGAAGTCTAGACTATTTTAAAAAACATAACACACATCAGATAGAATTAATTAAACTTCTTTTAAGAACTTTGGATAGAGGCTAAAATAGTGAAGGCAGACCCAACTTGAAATCGTTCCTCCTCCTGGTCCACTACAAAACTCGTCTAAAGTAGGAAAAGAAAAAACACAGCACTTCGACTTTACGAAACAGACTTGAGTCCTCAAGTTGGACCCAACTAGAAGGGGGGGGGTCACTATTTTAGCTACGGGCTTTAAATCAAGCCATCACAAGCAGAGAAGCCACGCTCCTCCCACATGGTCTCCCCCATGCCAATGGTTCCGCCCAAAAATAACCATGTCACGAGCTTGGAACAACATGCCGCCCCATCCATGTAATTTTAGACAACCAGTCGGTCACACAGCCGAATAGCCCAGCGCATCTCCTGTCGTCCATATTTACCCTTCAGTACTGACTCGTTCCAGAATTTATAACCTCAGAACCCCTCAGGGCCGTGAAACGAGAAGCCATTCCCCTCCTATGTGGTTGCACTCATGCCAACCTCCCCACCATCCCATGCTGTCCGCCTCGACTATTCACTGCTTTGTCGTTCAAAAACACTACCACATCAAAACCCTTCAGGGTCGTGAAACAAGAAGCCATGCCCCTCCCATGTGGTCCCACTCATCCCCACCTCCTCCGCATCTACACCCACGGCTGAATCTCCCCACCATCCCATGCCGTCCGCATCTGCCATACGTATACACAAGGAGCAGCCAGGGGGAACGCGTCAGGCAGAGCGGATACGACAGTGGGAACAAAAAACCATCATTATCCACATCTACAACCACAGCTAAGACCTCAGATATACACCCCGCATCTAGAGGGATATTTGAGACTAAATCATCCTTCAGACCTTGGAATCGCCAAGAGCTTGGGATACGGTACAGGCAAAGCAAGCATGCAGCTATAACAATCCTGCGAATACCTGCAGTAGAAGCAGCAGCAGCAGCATACTCTCAAGTCTTCTCAGTAGCACACACCCATCACCCATGCAGCATGTTGGAGATTGCTGGACACTGGTAAACCAAAACAAACGCAACAGACAAAGAAAACAACAAAAAGTAACACTTACAGTGGTTAAAGTGAGCTTGCCGCTTTGGAATTGAAGAAGAGCACAATCCATCACTGCTGCTCAACGCCCTCTGCCTCTTCTTCGCACTCCCCTGCTGTTGCCAGCCTGCACCACTATCCCTTCCTCCCATCCCTACCCTTCCTACCCTCTCTACCTCTCCAGCTCCTTCACTTCCACTCAGAACGAGCACCCGGGATGAAGGCTGGGAAGGAGGAACACTCCTATTGCTCCTAAGTTGGGCGAAATCCGCAGAACTCCTTTCTCTAGACAGATTCCCGTCTCTTGATAACGTCCTGCCGCTAAATGAGTTCCTGACATTAGGTGAATTTCTGTCACTAAGCGAATTCCTTAAACTCGGCAACACTCTGGCATCGGAGCCATTGCCCCTGCCACTGGGGAAACTCCTGGGACCGTTTTCGATTGGGAAGGCTGGCGAATCATTGCTTGGGTGAGCTGCATTGCTGCTGTCAGATCGAGGAGTGTCGGCTCGAAAGACTGTATTTTGGAAAGCATTGCGATCCCTTTGCTGCCCTGATTTTTCAACTACGGAGGCTGGTGCATTGCTGTGTGTCCGTGCTGTGCTATTGCTGTTGCGATTGCCAATGCTGTTGCTGTTGCTGCCACGAGCTGCGCAGTCGCATGTGTGATTCAACGGAGTGTGAGTACATAGAGATGGATGTGCAGAGGTGTTAATCCGTCGCTTCAAAACCTCCTGCTGCTGTTCCTTCGCCGGCTGTTCAGGTTGAGCCACGGAGTGCAGGAGGAAGAAGAGGGAAGGGTTGCTGTCCCGGAGAGATGGTGCATCCACTAAAACCCGCGACCTGATATAATTGAGGAATGGGTCAGAAAAGGTGGAAACAGGACGAAGATTCTGTAAGCACAATTTTCCGAAAGAATAGTGCAATTTTAGTAGCCTTGGGTTGGAAAATAACAGGGGTTGATGGATTAAGGACGACGTTAGGGTTGCATGAAGCACGAGCGTTAGCAGCCAAAAAACGATAACCATCTCCGTTGTACTGATGCCTATGCCAATATTGTAATTAAACCCACTGACGCCATAAGGCTTTAGAGATAGAAGGAATGTCACCGTTTCTGAGTAAAAGCTCCATGCAACGTGAGTTGCCCAGACATGCCACAGCTAACCAGCCGAGACGAAATAGTCGTTGAGACAAAATCGTCCCCAATTTAGTATCAGTCCGAAAGCTTGCACGTTATCTCTTCTCGCAAGCCTACTCGTATGTTTCACGCGAAAACGAGAGACTGGCGAGGCTTGCGGAAGCGCGCGGGGAGGTGAGAATAGTGGACTAGATGCACTCGCAGAGTTGATCGAGTGATGCCTCTCTCAGCTGTTTTGAACATCAAAATCTTGAAGGTGACGCCTAATTCGTCAAGGAAGGACTCGTTTTCCTTATTGATTTACTGACAAGTGCAATGTCGAAACTGTATGAGCAGAACAAAACGTTCCGAACCTGCTGATGGCTGAATGGGGAGGCTTGGGCGAATGACCGAGCCGAAGCCGGCAGCGCTTCTGAAGCATTGGACCAATCAGGAAGCTCCATACCTCGTTTTTGTGGTCGGTGTCGTGCAGGTGTTGGCGGGAAGAACATGGCTTTGGTGTTCGCTTCCCGCCTGTGTGTGTCGGGGTTTGTTTGTGCTCCTCCTCGGTAGTGTCGCAATGCAAGCAACATTCAACCAGACGCTGCGATGCTCTGGTAACCACCACTATGCGAAAAGGTCCAGTGAGCGGACCGGCATAAAGCTCTGACCCGCAGGCTCCCTCCACTCACGACCAGTCAGTCTCCCACACAACCCAGTCTAGCAAATCCAAAAGGTTCATACACGACCGACCGCCTTCAGCACACGACCATTCTGTGTTATCATACTTTTCTCCCCAGTGCAACAACTCTATTCCGCGCTGATTCTTAACATTGTTAGAGAGAAGAGACTCGGGTGCGCGTTTTGAATTCGCTTTCCAGCGGCCGATTCATTTTCCTCGCACCGCCTTTGTTCCGATCATTGGTCGAAATGCACCTTCCAACCCTATCGCCATCACCACAGCCGGGCATTCTTCCGTCAGGTTCGCATGCGGGGACGCCTTTCGACGCAATTACTGTTCAGCCAGCTCCCAGTCCCAGAGCCTTCCGTGCAACTTACTTCAACTCGCAATTCACCGTTCCTAGAACTAGTAGGGCCATCAGTGGTAGCAATGCGGTGCCGACTCGGAGGTTAGCGACTTGGAGATTCGGTAGGGGGGGGAAGTTGTTAGTCAGAGCAATCAACGGGCCAGATTCCGCCAGCGGATCCACCAGACCATCCAGTCCGCCCCCCTTGCACGAATCACCGTCAACTACTTCTGCACCCCTGGCGACAGCTGCCATTGCCACCGATTCAACTGGTCGTAACCGCCTTGGAAATGACAGCATCGGTTCCGAATTGCAGCCTCGGATTCCTAGTTCACAGGTTACAAACAAAATTATGAGCAACCTGTTAAGTTGAACCGCCGGGGAGGAGACGGTGAGGGAGACACCGAAATGCGGCGACAGGTGAATGAGTTAATAGAGAGGTATGCTACAGTGGAGCAAGTTCGACGCGAGTACGTGGCGCCTGACATATTCGATTACCATGGCGAGCTGCGTGCTTTTATCGAATCTGATGGAGCGTCTAATAGCGGGTCAGCAGGAGCTTCAGGAGGTAAGGGGGTTGTCGGGGGAAAGGCCGGAATGGGGGCCTCGGGAAGGGATAATGGCGGGCGGATGTCGGACGGGAATGGGTTACAGTTGCCATTTCCGTTCCAGAATCCGTTTCAGTTACCGTTACCGTTACCATCTCCAGAGTCGTTGAACCTTCTAGAACAGATTTTCCCTATTCCGGATGCTTTGAAGCCTCTCCTCCCTGATCTAGGGAGAAGCAGAGAAGACAACAGCAGGAGCAGCCGCGGCCGGAGCACCAGCAGCAGCCAAAACAGAACAGGCAGCAGCAGCAGCGGCACAGAAACGGCAGCAGCAGCAGTCCCACGGTTCTTCTGCCCGTTAGACGCCAGGCCACCAACAACAGAGCAGCAGCAGCAGCAGCAGCAGACAGGAAAATCCCTGCCACGGCTGCTGTTTCTTCCTGGCGTGGATGGGGTTGGCTATGGCCTCAAGCTGCATCACAAGTCCCTGGGGCGGCTGTTTGAAGTCACGTGCCTGCACATACCACGATCCGATCGGACCGACTTCCAAGGTATATGCTCTAAGCCCATGGGTGTGCATGCATGTGTCGTGTAGGTGTTTGGATGGAGTCGGCTATGGACTGTTCGAGGTCACGTGCCTGCACATTCCGCTGTCCGATCGGACTTCCGAGGTTTGCTCCAACTGTATAAGTGTGTGTGTATGCATCACTGGGTGTTTAGATGGGGTTGGCTATGGGCTCAAGCTGCATCACAAGTCCCTGGGGCGGCTGTTTGAAGTCACGTGCCTGCACATACCACTATCCGATCGGACCGACTTCCAAGGTATGCTTTAAGCCTATGAGCGTAAATGCATCAGTAGGTGCTTGGGTGAGGGTTGGCTATGGCCTCAAGCTGCAGGCGGCTTTTAGGTGTATGAGCGTGGATGCATGCATCTGTAAGTGCTTGGATGGGGTTGGTTGGCTATGGCCTCAAGCTGCATCACAAGTCCCTGGGGCGGCTGTTTGAAGTGACCTGCTGCCTGCACATACCATTATACGATCGGACCGACTTCCAAGGTATGCCCTCCCAGTCTGTGAGCGAGTATGCGCACATGCATGTGTGGGTGCGTGGATGGGGTTGGCTATGGCCTCAAGCTGCATCACAAGTCCCCGGGGCGACTGTTTGAAGTGGGTTGTCATGGCCTGACGCATGCACCTCTTCCCATACGCCCCACTATCCCCTCTTTCCCATGCACCTCCATCCGTTCCCCACGCATGCACCTCTTCCTTCCCTATAACCCTCCCAACCCTCGCCCCTCCTCCCCCATCCTTTCCCAGGGCTATTGTCTCTCGTGGAGGCCGAGGTATTACAAGAGCACATCCAGTCGCCGAGCCGGCCGCTCTTTCTCGTGGGGGAGTCGTTTGGTGCTCTCCTCGCCGCAGCAGTAGCCGCAAGAAACCCCTCCTTGCCACTCAGCCTCGTACTGATCAACTCAGGTGAGAAACGAAGGTCTTATAGTGTGGCAGGACTAGGTTCTGCTCTGGTATGCAGCAGTGGCGGCACGAAACCCCTCCTTGCCCATCACCCTCGTTCCTTGCTTGTTTCTTGCTCCAACACCTCCTCCTGCGAAAACATTGGATGGATTGGAACCGAAGCACGGCAAGGGTCTCCTCCATAATTTCGACAGACTTGTATGAAGTGGGAAAAGAGGTAGAATTAGGAGTTGATAAGTCTTTGAATAAAGAACTCCGGCCGTGAGACCTTCGCCAGCACCGCAGGATTACAAAAAGAAAAGACTCCTCTAACCACCTTTGCTGATCAGCCTCATTCATCTCTAGTTTCTTGCTCCAACACCCCATTCCTCTGCTAAAGAGCGTCCCTCACGAGGCCTGTACTGTTCCCCATGTCCCTCCCTCATGCCTCTGCTAAAGGGTGCTCTGTCAGAAGTCCATCTTTATGCTCCTCAAGATACCCTCCCTTGCCTTTCTCCACCGCCTTCCTTGACTCGTTCACTCATTTTCTTCCATCTCCTTCCCCCCCCGTGTTTTCCCCAGCCACCAGCTTCCCCCGCTCCTCGCTTCAACCTCTCATTCCTCTGCTCAAGAGCGTTCCTCCAGAGGCGAGAGGGTCATTTTTTCCCCGAAGTCCCTCTTTCATCTCCTCCCCTTTCCCACTGGCTTCCCTGTTTTGCTACCCCGTGTATTCCCCAGCCACCAGCTTCCCACGCTCCTCGCTGCAACCTCTCATCCCTCTGCTGAAGAGCGTCCCTCCAGAGGCCTACTCCGCTCTTCCCTTCCTCTTCAGCCTCGCCATAGGTACAAGACCTACTCTCCTTTCCCTCTCAAGATACCAAACTTATCTAAACTTTTCCTTGACTCGTTGCCTCCCAGTGAACCCGTCCCGCATGAGATAAGTGTGGTGTTTTAACGATGTATTAGGCGCCTCAACGATCACCTTTTCCTCCCTCATTCCACGCCTCCCTCCCCTCCCTCCCTCCCTCCCCTCCCTCCCTCCCTCCCCTCCCTCCCTCCCTCCCTCCCTCCCTCCCCTCCCTCCCTCCCTCCCTCCCTCCCTCCCTCCCTCCCTCCCTCCCTCCCTCCCTCCCTCCCTCCCTCATTCCCCTCCCCCCATCCCTTTCCTTCCCTCTCTCCCACCCTCTCTCCCTCCTTGCCTTCCATCCAGTGAACCCAATCCGCATAGCATCTGGTGGTTTACCTCTTGAAGCCTCTCCCTTAACCCGCTTGGAGAAGCTAAGGGACAATCTGCTCAGTCTTCTCCCCTCTCTCCCTGTAAGCCGCTCTCTCTCTCTTCCCATACTGCTCCCTCACCTCTTGATGCCTCGCCCACGGACAATCCTCTCCCCTTGACGCCTCTCCCTGGGACCGCGTGGAGAAGCTAAGGGACAACCTTCTCGGCCTGCTGCCCTCTCTCCCTGTAAGCCTGCGCTCTCTCATGCTAGCTGCTCCCTCTCCTCTTATGCTCCTCTCCTCTTGACGCCTCTCCCTGGGATCGCGTGGAGAAGCTAAGGGACAATCTGCTCGGCCTGCTGCCATCCCTCCCTGTAAGCATGCCGCCTCTGCTTGCAAGCCACTCCCTCTCTCAGCTGATCTCTCTCCTATTGATAATTCTCCTCTTGAAGCCTCTCCCTTGGACCGCTTGGAGAAGCTAAGGGACAATCTGCTCAGCCTGCTCCTCTCTCTCCCTGTAAGCCTCCCTCTCATGCTGCTGCTCCCTCTCCCTTCCCCTTGACCTCTCTTGACGCCTCTCCCTTGCACTGCTTGGAGAATCAAGGAAAAACCTGCTAAGCTTTCCAGCCGTTTCCATTCCATCGCCAGCCGTGGCCCCCATGCTCCTTACAGCTGCTCGCGAAAATGTTCCCTCAAGCCCCGCTGGAGTGGAAGCTGCATCTACTGGGGCCAGGCTGTGCGTTCCTTACACAATCCGTTGCACCTATGCCCCCCATGCTCTCTGCTCCACCGTACAGCTCCTCACGGAGTTGCTCCCACAAGCAACGCTGGTGTGGAAACTACACCTGCTGGAGGCAAGCTCTGCCTTCATTCTCCTGCCATGCCATTACCCGCGTGCCACCCATGCCCCCCGTGCCACCCATGGCCCCCATGCTCCCTACAGCTCCTTACGGACTTGCTCCCACAAGCAACGCTGGAATGGAAGCTGCATCTGCTGGAAACAGGCTCTGCCTTCACAGAGCCTCTTCTCCCTTCCATTCGCGCACCAACACTCCTTATTGCTGGGTGAGTGTGTGTATATGTATGTGCGAAGGTGCGCGGTGCGGAACTTGTTCTTCCTATACAGTACCCTTCCGCTGCCTAAACACCAATTGGTTTCAAGCTGGGCCTTCACAGAGCCTATGCTCCCTTCCATTCGCGCACAGACACCCATCATTGCTGGGTACGCGCGTGCATGTTTGTGAGTGTGTGTGCGGGATGCTAACCAGACCCAAAGTCCCTGTGGCCACTGCCTTGATACGCTGTCACTTGTTTCTTTCCCCCATTGCCCCCACTCTTGTTTACTCTCAATCTCTCCCAAGGAACGATGACCAGCTGTTCCCAAGCAAGCAGGAGGCCAGCTGGCTGTAGGAGATTATGAGCGTCCCTCATTCCCTGGTGATTTCTGCCTTATACCTCGTCACTTGTGTGCCGCATGACGTCCCATTGCTTCCTCAATACTCTGCATCCCCCACCATCCACTCCCTATCCCAGGAGTGACGACCAGCTGCTTCCCAGCAAGGAGGAAGCCGGTCGCTTGCAGGAGATTCTAGCCAGAGCCAAAGCCCGGGCGGTTGTGCGGATCTTTGAGGGCTCAGGGCACGCGCTGCTGCTGGTGAGTGGTTCTCTGTGTGCTGCTGCTGGTTCTGTGGCGCTGCAAGCTATATAATATTCAATTCAGGGCCAAAGCCCGGACGGTTGTGCGGGTGTTTGAGGGCTCAGGGCATGCACTGCTGCTGGTGAGTGCTGCTCTATGCGCTGCTGCTGATATGCCTTGCTCTTTTCGTTGCTGCTGGTACACCTGTGCAGAACTGACAGGCTCAAGCCACATCTCCTTGTAACGGGGATGGGTTCGATTCGATTTGATTCCAACATATGATCTCCTTCCCCCTTTCCCCCCACCACCACCACGCTCATCAGGAGTCAGGCTTGAACCTTGCATCAACCATCAAGGGCGCGCACATGTACATTCAGAGGCGAGGGGACAACCCTGTGGTGGCCGGCTGGCTTGTAGCGATCAACCCCTAGCCTCTCACATCCGCCACTTGTCACTTTCCCCTCACCACTCCCTCCGCCCACACACCCACCCACCAGGAATCAGGCTTGGACCTTGCATCCACCATCAAGGGAGCGCACATGTACATTCAGAGGCGAGGGGACGACCCTGCTGCAACCACATCCACCATAGTCTCGTATCATTTCTCACCTCTTACCAGGAGTCAGGCTCGGACCTTGCATCCACCATCAAGGGCGCGCACATGTACATTCAGAGGCGAGGGGACGACCCTGTGGTGGCAGGGTGGCTTGTAGCGAGTGATCAACCCTAGCCCCTTACATCCCCCTCTTCTCTCTCCCTGCACACCCTTCTCCAACACCCACCAGGAGTCAGGCTTGGACCTGGCATCAACCAACAAGGGAGCGCACATGTACATTCAGAGGCGAGGGGACGACGCTGTGGTGGCGGGCTGGCTTGTAGCGATCAACCCTGGTATCTCACATTTCCCACTGCTTCCCCGGACCCTACACCCATTTGCCAGGAGTCAGGCTTGGACCTTGCTTCAACCATCAAGGGAACCCACATGCACTTTGTCTGTGGCGAGGGGACGACGCTGTGGTGGCGGGCTGGCTTGTAGCGATCAACCCTGGCATCTTACATCCCCCTCTTCTCTCTCCCTCACTCCTTCTCTCGTACCCACCAGGAATCAGGCTTGGCCCTTGCCTCAACCATCAAGGGAGCGCACATGTACATTCAGACGCGAGGGGACGACCCTGTTTGGTGTCAGGCTTATACCCCACCCCCCTTTCCCCCCTCTCTACCAGGAGTCAGGCTTGGACCTTGCATCAACCATCAAGTCGCGCACATGTACATTCAGAGGCAAGGGGACGACCCTGTGGTGGCAGGCTGGCTTGTAGCGATCAAGATTAGCCTCGCACATCCCGCTCTTCTCCCGCCCTCCACTGGCCTCAATAGGAATCGGGCCTAGACCTCGCTTCCAGCATCAAGGGAGCCCACATGTACATTCAGAGGCCAGGGGACGACCCTGTTTGCTGTCAGGCTTATACCAACCGTACCTACCACCATCTACACTACACCCCAACCCCACCCCTCAATAGGAATCGGGCCTAGACCTCGCTTCCAGCATCAAGGGAGCCCACATGTACATTCAGACGCGAGGGGACGACCCTGTGGTGGCAGGCTGGCTTGTGGCGATCAAGATTAGCCTCGTGCATCCCGCTCTTCTCCCCCCCTCCACTGGCCTCAATAGGAATCGGGCCTAGACCTCGCTTCCACCATCAAGGGAGCGCACATGTACATTCAGAGGCGAGGGGACGACCCTGTTTGGTGGCAGGCTGGCTTGTAGCACTCAACCCTAGCATCTCACATTTCCCTCTGCTTCCCCGGACCCTACACCCATTCGCCAAAAGTCAGGCTTGGACCTTGCTTCAACCATCAAGGGAACCCACATGCACTCTTTCTGTGGTGAGGGGACGACCCTGTGGTGGCAGGCTGGCTTGTAGCGAGCGATCAACCCTGGCATCTTACATCCCGCTCTTCTGTCCCCCTCACTCCTTCTCTCGTACCCACCAGGAATCAGGGTTGGACCTGGCCTCAACCATCAAGGGGGCTCACATGTACATTCAGACGCGAGGGGCTGACCCTGTTTGGTGTCAGGCTTATACCCCATCCCGCTTTCCCCCCTCTCTACCAGGAGTCAGGCTTGGACCTTGCCTCAACCATCAAGGGCGCGCATATGTACATTCAGAGGCGAGGAGACGACCCTGTGGTGGCAGGCTTATCCCAACCAGCCATGTACACCACCCCACCCCCCTTTCCCCCCTCTCTACCAGGAGTCAGGCTTGATCCTTGCATCCACCATCAAGGGAGCGCACATGTACATTCAGAGGCGAGGGGACGACGCTGTGGTGGTGGCGGGCTGGCTCGTAGCGATCAAGATTAGCATCGTGCATCCCCCTCTTCTCCCCCCCTCCACCGTACCCGCCAGGAATCGGGCTTAGACCTCGCTTCCACCATCAAGGGCGCGCACATGTACCCTGTGGTGGCAGGCTGGCTTGTAGCGATCAAGATTAGCCTCGCACATCCCGCTCTTCTCCCCCCCTCCACTGGCCTTAATAGGAATCGGGCTTAGACCTCGCTTCCACCATCAAGGGCGCGCACATGTACATTCAGAGGCCAGGGGACAACCCTTGTCCAACCACAATCACCGTTGATCTCTTATGGATCTCAACCCCTTCCCTCTTATCAGGAGTCAGGCTTGGACCTTGCTTCAACCATCAAGGGCGCGCACATGTACATTCAGAGGCCAGGGGACAACCCTTGTCCAACCACAATCACCGTTGATCTCTTATGGATCTCAACCCCTTCCCTCTTATCAGGAGTCAGGCTTGGACCTTGCTTCAACCATCAAGGGCGCGCACATGTACATTCAGAGGCCAGGGGACAACCCTTGTTCAACCACAATCACCGTTGATCTCTTATGGATCTCAACCCCTTCCCTCTTATCAGGAGTCAGGCTTGGACCTTGCTTCAACCATCAAGGGCGCGCACATGTACATTCAGAGGCGAGGGGACGACCCTGTGGTGGCAGGCTTTCAACCTCCCACCGTTCAGGAGCTAGCTCGGGCCAAATCAGGGCTGGACGGGTGGGTGGAGAGGGGTTGAGTACGGTAACAAGGTTTTTCCAAACAGAAGTGAGAGCCTGTGAGTTGGGAGGCCAGGGGACGACCCTGTGGTGTCGGGCTTTCAGCCTCCCGCTGTCCAGGAGCTAGCACGGGCCAAATCAGGGCTGGACGGGTGAGTTGGGAGGGGTGGAGAATGGTAGCAAGGGTTGAGAGGAAAGGGGACGACCCTGTGGTGGCAGGCTTTCAGCCCCCCACTGTCCAGGAGCTAGCTCGGGCCAAATCAGGGCTGGACGGGTGGGTAGACAGGGGTGGAGAACGGTAACAGGGTATGTCTCCGAGTGAGAGCCTGTGATCTGGGAGGCGAGGGGACGACCCTGTGGTGGCGGGTTTCAGCCCCCCACTGTCCAGGAGCAAGCTCGAGCCAAATCAGGGCTGGACGGGTGGGTGGGTGGACGGGTTTAAACCCTCCTGCTCAAAGCATTTCGCTCCTAACCCTTTCGCCCAATTCCTGGATGCAGTTTCCCCGCCCCGCTGCTTCTGCTGCCTTGTGTTCCTGTCTGCAGTTGTGGCAGATTATGATTGTATTCAGATAATGTATTTATTTTAAGAGCACCCTGCTCCTGTGCTCCTCCTCTATCAACTATTTTTCTTCGCTCCTGAATGCAGGTTTCTCCGCCGCTTCTGCAGCCCCATTTTTCTCTCGACAGTTGTTGAGGAATCTCCTAGTAATGCAAGTGCTGCTAACGAATCTCCCAGTAATGGAGGTCATCATAATGGGGCTGCTGCTGGTAATGGGGCTGCTACTAGTAACGGGGCTGCTATTAACGGGGCTGCTACTAACGGGGCTGCTACTAACAGGGCTGCTATTAACGAAGCTGCTGGTAATGGGGCCGCTGTTCCTGAGTTTCAAAATGGGAATGCAAGCAGAAGAAGTAGCAGCAGCAGCGGTATATCACCAGAGCAGCACCAGAAGCACCAAAAGCAGCGGCGGCGGCAGCGGGTGGTGGTGGGCTTAGAGGGAGTACCGGCATGCGAGCGGCCGCTGCTGTTTGTGGGCAACCACCAGACACTGGCGCCGGAGATGAGCGTGTTGGTATCAGAGCTCATGGCGCACGGCGTGGTGGTCAGGGGGCTGGCGCACCCATTAGCTATTGAAATGGTGAGTGCACATGCAGAATGTGCTGGGCAGACAAACCAACCAACCACCAGACGCTGGCGCCGGAGATGAGCGTTTTGGTATCAGAGCTCATGGCGCACGGCGTGGTGGTCAGAGGGCTTGCGCACCCTTTAGCCATCGAAATGGTGAGTGCACATGCAGAATGTGCTGGGCGGACAAACCAACCAACCAACCAACCACCAGACCCTGGCGCCGGAGATGAGTGTGTTGGTATCAGAGCTCATGGCGCACGGCGTGGTGGTTAGGGGGCTGGCACACCCCCTAGCCATAGAGATGGTGAGTGCTTCACCCCTAGACTCGGTGAGTACGTCAGTTCAAGCCCAACTGACTGACTGCCGTTTGTGGGCAACCACCAGACCCTGGCGCCTGAGATGAGTGTGTTGGTATCAGAGCTCATGGCGCACGGTGTGGTGGTCAGAGGGCTTGCGCATCCACTAGCAATTGAAATGGTGAGTGGCATAGGGGGGATGGGATAGAAGCACTAAGTGAATGCACTTCCCTTTCAACCACCAGACTCTGGCGACGGAGATGAGCGTGTTGGTATCAGAGCTCATGGCGCATGGCGTGGTGGTCAGAGGCTTGGCGCACCCCCTAGCCATCGAAGTGGTGCGTGCAGTGCAATCCCCACGCCGTGCAATCCCCACGCCGTGCAATCCCCACGCCGTGCAATCCCCACGCCGTGCCGTGCATCAACCACAGTTCCCTTCCACCGTGTCAACATGCTGGTGGAGGGAGGTGAGCAGTACAAGCTGTTCGGAGCCGCTGTAGAAAGTGTATTTGTTTTTTGAGACGTCTCAAAAATACACTTTCTACACATCCAAGTGGTGCGTGCATCAACCACAGTTCCACTGTGTCAACATGCTGGTGGAGGAAGGTGAGCAGTACAAGCTGTTCGGAGCCGTGCCTGTGACCCCTTACCCGTTGTCGCATGCCCATGCCCCATATGCCCCATATGCCCCATATGCCCCAAACTCCCATATCCACTGTGTCAACATGCTGGTGGAGGAAGGTGTACTAGCTGTTCGGAGCCGTCCCTGTGACCCCTTGACTGAGGACCCTACACTTTGACTTGAAACCCTGACCCCTATACTCCTGTTTTTCCAGTTCCGCCGTGTCAACATGCTGGTGGAGCAGGGCGAGCAGTACAAGCTGTTCGGAGCCGTCCCCGTGATGTGAACCCTCAACCGTCAAACCTATAGCATAAACCCTAACCTCCTCTATACCTTAAGTTCCATTAAGTCAACATGCTGGTGGAGCAGGGCGAGCAGTACAAGGTATTTGGGTGGTCCCTGTGACCCCATACCCATTGTCCATTCCCATGTTTGAAATGCCTCATTCCCCACCCTCGCAGTTCCATGATATCAGCGTGCTGGTGGAGCAGGGCGAGCAGTACAAGGTATTTGGAGCCGTCCCCGTGACCCCATACCCATTGTCGCATGCCCATGCCCCCATATGCCCCAAACTCCCATATCCACAGTTCCACGATACCAACCTGCTGGTGGAACAGGGCGAGCGAGCAGTACAAGGTGTTCGGAGCGGTGCCTGTCAGTCACCCCCTGCCAACACCTACAACGCGCTTGCCCACAGGGAAGCTGCTACTGTAACCTGAACAACTAGTCTCAACCCTAACCCCTATACTCCTTTTTTTTCACTTCCATGATATCAACATGCTGGTGGAGCAGGGCGAGCAGTCCACCAAGGTGTTCGGAGCGGTGCCTGTGACCCCTTACCCATTGTACCCTACACCCTGACCTGAAACCCTAACCCCTATACTCCTTTTTTTCAGTTCCACGATATCAACATGCTGGTGGAGCAGGGCGAGCAGTACAAGGTATTTGGGTGGTCCCTGTGACGCCATACCCATTGTCCATTCCCATGTTTGAAATGCCTCATTCCCCACCCTCGCAGTTCCATGATATCAGCGTGCTGGTGGAGCAGGGCGAGCAGTACAAGGTATTTGGGTGGTCCCTGTGACCCCTTGACCGAGGACCCTACACCCTGACTTGAAACCCTAACCCCTATACTCCTGTTTTTTCAGTTCCATGATATCAACATGCTGGTGGAGCAGGGTGAGCAGTACAAGGTGTTTGGAGCCGTCCCCGTGACCCCCGCCAACACCTACAAAGTTCTCGCCAACAAGGAAGCTGCGCTGCTGTTTCCTGGAGGCGTTCGAGAGGCTCTAAAGAACAGGGTGAGCAGGAGGGGTTGGATGCGGTGGTGCGGGGTGAGCAGGGGGTTTGAAGGGGTGGGGGCTCTTCTGGTGCTGCTTTGTTGAGTTGGTCCCTGTGACCCCTGCCAACACCTACAAGGTTCTCGCCAACAAGGAAGCTGCGCTTCTGTTTCCTGGAGGCGTTCGAGAGGCCCTAAAGAAAAGGGTGAGCAGCGGTTGAATGGGGTGAAGTGGTGTTCTGGTGCTTTACTGAGCTGGTCCCTGTGACCCCCGCCAACACCTACAAGGTTCTCGCCAACAAGGAAGCTGCGCTGCTGTTTCCTGGAGGCGTTCGAGAGGCTCTAAAGAAAAAGGTGAGCAGGAGGGGTTGAATGCGGTGGTGTGGGGTGGGCAGGGGGTTTGAAGGGGTGGGGGCTCTTCTGGTGCTGCTTCGTTGAGTTGGTCCCTGTGACCCCCGCCAACACCTACAAGGTCCTTGCCAACAAGAGAACGCAGGAGGCGTTCTAGAAAAGGGTGAGCAGCGGTTGAATGCGGTGGAGTGGTATTGTGTGGAGCTTTCTTGAGCTGGTCCATGTGACCCTCGCCAACACCTACAAGGTGCTCGCAAACAAGGAAGCTGCGCTGCTGTTTCCTGGAGGCGTGCGGGAGGCTCTCAAGAAAAGGGTGAGCAGGAGGGATTGAATGCATTTGAATGCGGTGAAGTGGTGTTGCAGTGCTTTCTTGAGTTGGTCCCTGTCACCCCCGCCAACACCTACAAGATGCTGGAACAAGGAAGCTGCGCTGCTGTTTCCTGGAGGCGTGCGGGAGGCACTAAAGAAAAGGGTGAGCAACGGTTGAATGCGGTGGAGTGGTGTTGTGGTGGTATCTTGAGTTGGTCCTGTGACCCCCGTAAACACCTACAACAAGGTGTTTGCCAACAAAAGAAAAGGGTGAGCAGCGATTGAATGCGGTGGAGTGGTGTTGCAGTGCTTTCTTGAGTTGGTCCCTGTCACCCCCGCCAACACCTGCAAGGTGCTTGCAAACAAGGAAGCTGCGCTGCTGCTTCCTGGAGGCGTTCGGGAGGCTCTGAAGAAAAGGGTGAGCAATTGTTGAGTGGGGTGGGGTGGGGTGGGGTGCAGTGGGGTGAGCAGGTGATTGTGGGCGTGTGGAAGGTGCCTGTGGGTTGATTGAACTCGTGTTGTGGTGCTTCTGTGTTGATAAGGGGAGGTGGGGAAGGAAGTGTGTGGGAATGTTTTTACGCCGTGTCTGGGGATTGGTGTGGAATGGGATGGGGTATGGGTGGGGGTGGCTGGGGGTGGGTGAGGGTGGTGGGTAGGGGGGTTGGGGTGCAAACGAGAACCTGACGCTCATTGGCTTAGTCCGGTTGGCATGAAATGTGTTGTTTTCAGGTTCGTAGAAGCAAGGTTTCTGGCGGCGGCAGCGGGTGGTGGTGGGCTTAGAGGGAGTACCGGCATGCGAGCGGCCGCTGCTGTTTGTGGGCAACCACCAGACACTGGCGCCGGAGATGAGCGTGTTGGTATCAGAGCTCATGGCGCACGGCGTGGTGGTCAGGGGGCTGGCGCACCCATTAGCTATTGAAATGGTGAGTGCACATGCAGAATGTGCTGGGCAGACAAACCAACCAACCACCAGACGCTGGCGCCGGAGATGAGCGTTTTGGTATCAGAGCTCATGGCGCACGGCGTGGTGGTCAGAGGGCTTGCGCACCCTTTAGCCATCGAAATGGTGAGTGCACATGCAGAATGTGCTGGGCGGACAAACCAACCAACCAACCAACCACCAGACCCTGGCGCCGGAGATGAGTGTGTTGGTATCAGAGCTCATGGCGCACGGCGTGGTGGTTAGGGGGCTGGCACACCCCCTAGCCATAGAGATGGTGAGTGCTTCACCCCTAGACTCGGTGAGTACGTCAGTTCAAGCCCAACTGACTGACTGCCGTTTGTGGGCAACCACCAGACCCTGGCGCCTGAGATGAGTGTGTTGGTATCAGAGCTCATGGCGCACGGTGTGGTGGTCAGAGGGCTTGCGCATCCACTAGCAATTGAAATGGTGAGTGGCATAGGGGGGATGGGATAGAAGCACTAAGTGAATGCACTTCCCTTTCAACCACCAGACTCTGGCGACGGAGATGAGCGTGTTGGTATCAGAGCTCATGGCGCATGGCGTGGTGGTCAGAGGCTTGGCGCACCCCCTAGCCATCGAAGTGGTGCGTGCAGTGCAATCCCCACGCCGTGCAATCCCCACGCCGTGCAATCCCCACGCCGTGCAATCCCCACGCCGTGCCGTGCATCAACCACAGTTCCCTTCCACCGTGTCAACATGCTGGTGGAGGGAGGTGAGCAGTACAAGCTGTTCGGAGCCGCTGTAGAAAGTGTATTTGTTTTTTGAGACGTCTCAAAAATACACTTTCTACACATCCAAGTGGTGCGTGCATCAACCACAGTTCCACTGTGTCAACATGCTGGTGGAGGAAGGTGAGCAGTACAAGCTGTTCGGAGCCGTGCCTGTGACCCCTTACCCGTTGTCGCATGCCCATGCCCCATATGCCCCATATGCCCCATATGCCCCAAACTCCCATATCCACTGTGTCAACATGCTGGTGGAGGAAGGTGTACTAGCTGTTCGGAGCCGTCCCTGTGACCCCTTGACTGAGGACCCTACACTTTGACTTGAAACCCTGACCCCTATACTCCTGTTTTTCCAGTTCCGCCGTGTCAACATGCTGGTGGAGCAGGGCGAGCAGTACAAGCTGTTCGGAGCCGTCCCCGTGATGTGAACCCTCAACCGTCAAACCTATAGCATAAACCCTAACCTCCTCTATACCTTAAGTTCCATTAAGTCAACATGCTGGTGGAGCAGGGCGAGCAGTACAAGGTATTTGGGTGGTCCCTGTGACCCCATACCCATTGTCCATTCCCATGTTTGAAATGCCTCATTCCCCACCCTCGCAGTTCCATGATATCAGCGTGCTGGTGGAGCAGGGCGAGCAGTACAAGGTATTTGGAGCCGTCCCCGTGACCCCATACCCATTGTCGCATGCCCATGCCCCCATATGCCCCAAACTCCCATATCCACAGTTCCACGATACCAACCTGCTGGTGGAACAGGGCGAGCGAGCAGTACAAGGTGTTCGGAGCGGTGCCTGTCAGTCACCCCCTGCCAACACCTACAACGCGCTTGCCCACAGGGAAGCTGCTACTGTAACCTGAACAACTAGTCTCAACCCTAACCCCTATACTCCTTTTTTTTCACTTCCATGATATCAACATGCTGGTGGAGCAGGGCGAGCAGTCCACCAAGGTGTTCGGAGCGGTGCCTGTGACCCCTTACCCATTGTACCCTACACCCTGACCTGAAACCCTAACCCCTATACTCCTTTTTTTCAGTTCCACGATATCAACATGCTGGTGGAGCAGGGCGAGCAGTACAAGGTATTTGGGTGGTCCCTGTGACGCCATACCCATTGTCCATTCCCATGTTTGAAATGCCTCATTCCCCACCCTCGCAGTTCCATGATATCAGCGTGCTGGTGGAGCAGGGCGAGCAGTACAAGGTATTTGGGTGGTCCCTGTGACCCCTTGACCGAGGACCCTACACCCTGACTTGAAACCCTAACCCCTATACTCCTGTTTTTTTCAGTTCCATGATATCAACATGCTGGTGGAGCAGGGTGAGCAGTACAAGGTGTTTGGAGCCGTCCCCGTGACCCCCGCCAACACCTACAAAGTTCTCGCCAACAAGGAAGCTGCGCTGCTGTTTCCTGGAGGCGTTCGAGAGGCTCTAAAGAACAGGGTGAGCAGGAGGGGTTGGATGCGGTGGTGCGGGGTGAGCAGGGGGTTTGAAGGGGTGGGGGCTCTTCTGGTGCTGCTTTGTTGAGTTGGTCCCTGTGACCCCTGCCAACACCTACAAGGTTCTCGCCAACAAGGAAGCTGCGCTTCTGTTTCCTGGAGGCGTTCGAGAGGCCCTAAAGAAAAGGGTGAGCAGCGGTTGAATGGGGTGAAGTGGTGTTCTGGTGCTTTACTGAGCTGGTCCCTGTGACCCCCGCCAACACCTACAAGGTTCTCGCCAACAAGGAAGCTGCGCTGCTGTTTCCTGGAGGCGTTCGAGAGGCTCTAAAGAAAAAGGTGAGCAGGAGGGGTTGAATGCGGTGGTGTGGGGTGGGCAGGGGGTTTGAAGGGGTGGGGGCTCTTCTGGTGCTGCTTCGTTGAGTTGGTCCCTGTGACCCCCGCCAACACCTACAAGGTCCTTGCCAACAAGAGAACGCAGGAGGCGTTCTAGAAAAGGGTGAGCAGCGGTTGAATGCGGTGGAGTGGTATTGTGTGGAGCTTTCTTGAGCTGGTCCATGTGACCCTCGCCAACACCTACAAGGTGCTCGCAAACAAGGAAGCTGCGCTGCTGTTTCCTGGAGGCGTGCGGGAGGCTCTCAAGAAAAGGGTGAGCAGGAGGGATTGAATGCATTTGAATGCGGTGAAGTGGTGTTGCAGTGCTTTCTTGAGTTGGTCCCTGTCACCCCCGCCAACACCTACAAGATGCTGGAACAAGGAAGCTGCGCTGCTGTTTCCTGGAGGCGTGCGGGAGGCACTAAAGAAAAGGGTGAGCAACGGTTGAATGCGGTGGAGTGGTGTTGTGGTGGTATCTTGAGTTGGTCCTGTGACCCCCGTAAACACCTACAACAAGGTGTTTGCCAACAAAAGAAAAGGGTGAGCAGCGATTGAATGCGGTGGAGTGGTGTTGCAGTGCTTTCTTGAGTTGGTCCCTGTCACCCCCGCCAACACCTGCAAGGTGCTTGCAAACAAGGAAGCTGCGCTGCTGCTTCCTGGAGGCGTTCGGGAGGCTCTGAAGAAAAGGGTGAGCAATTGTTGAGTGGGGTGGGGTGGGGTGGGGTGCAGTGGGGTGAGCAGGTGATTGTGGGCGTGTGGAAGGTGCCTGTGGGTTGATTGAACTCGTGTTGTGGTGCTTCTGTGTTGATAAGGGGAGGTGGGGAAGGAAGTGTGTGGGAATGTTTTTACGCCGTGTCTGGGGATTGGTGTGGAATGGGATGGGGTATGGGTGGGGGTGGCTGGGGGTGGGTGAGGGTGGTGGGTAGGGGGGTTGGGGTGCAAACGAGAACCTGACGCTCATTGGCTTAGTCCGGTTGGCATGAAATGTGTTGTTTTCAGGTTCGTAGAAGCAAGGTTTCTGGCAAAAGCTATCCCGTTCTTTCTCTTTGTGTGTTTCGATGCCACTGTGTGTCTCGCAGGGAGAGAACTATCAGCTGTTTTGGCCTGAGCGAGCAGAGTTTGTCCGCATGGCGGTAGGTTGCGCAAACTCTGTTGAATGATTCGTTATAGAGCAACTCGTGAGTGATACTTTGAAGTGAGGTCTTAATGCATGGTCTTCTGTCTTCTTCCAACATGTGGTAATCGTGCCATTTTTTTGTATCGTGGTGAAAGGCCTGATCCTGGCCATTACGTTCACTCTCTCTGGTCATTAGGATTTTGTACAAAATCGTGGATGAACGTATGTAGACAGGATTCTTATATTTTCTATAATGCGACAAAATTTGTCTGGTCTTTCTGTCAAACCTCCAATGGCTTCCCCTTGGGGTTTCCATCTGTGTCTTTGCTTTGTTTACTTCTTCCTGTTTGCTTCTTCTTGCTTCATGTGCTGTTTTCCTGTACTCCAGGCGAAGCATGAAGCGACAATCATTCCTTTTGCATGCATTGGCGTGGATGATGGGTTCGATGTGAGTGGGATGGGAGGGGGTGTGAGCAGAAAGCATGTGTGATCTAGGGGGAGGGTGGGTAGAAAGCACGAAGCAACAATCATTCCGTTTGCATGCATTGGCGTGGATGATGGGTTCGATGTGAGTGGGAGTAGAGGGGATATGTGTGACTAGAGGGGGCGGGATTGTGCCTGTAAGCAAATGTGATACGTGCATCTGTTGTTATATCATCCCGTTTGCATGCATTGGCGTGGATGATGGGTTCTATGTGAGTGGGGGTAGAGGGGGTTTATGTGACTAGAAAGAGGTGAATGTAGGAGATGTGACGAGAGAGAGGCGACTTTCGGGTGGTGCTTCACGTGCTGCTTCCTTGACTTTCGGGCTAAGCATGAAGCAACATGCATTGGCGTGTATCATGGGTGTGATGTAAGTGGGAGGGAGGGTGTATGAGCAGAAAGCATGTGTGTATCTAGAGGGAGGTTGAGTAGAAAGCATGAAGCAACAATCATCCCGTTCGCATGCATTGGCGGGTTTGATTTGAGTGGGAAGGAGGGAGGGGGTGTGACTAAAGAGGGTGTGATTGTGACTGCAAGCACATGTGGTACTTGCCTCGGTCGTTCTAGCATCCCATTTCCGCTGTTTGATTGCATTGCTGTGGATGTGATGTGAGTGGGAGGGAGGGATTGTGTGTGACTGTAGGAAATGTGACTAGAGAGAGATGACTGTTGAGAGTGTGACTAAAGGGAATGAGGGGATGTGCGCCCATGGATGTGTGCTATGCCTCTCCTGGTTGTTTCCAATATCACATCGTCAATCTACGCATTTTCACAGTGCATAAAGCAAGCACATACAATTATTTGTGCTGTGTTCTGTTGTTGTTGTTGTTTTGTTTTTTTTTTTTTTTCCAACCCTTGTGCGTTCGTCAATTTTCCGTCCCAATCCTTTCCTGTATCAACCTGCCTGCCAATTCTTATTTCTTCCTGCAGATTCTTGTGGATGCGGACGAAATGCCCAACGTGCCCATCATTGGCCCCATGGCAGTCGAGGGTGTGCAGGCATGGCCCAGAGTGAGGTAGGGCTGAGTGTGGTCTAGTGCGGTTCGCAGCAGTGAAGCGCGGTGCGGTGCGGTGAAATGACATCCCACATGTGCCCATCATTGGCCCCATGGCAATGTAGGGTGTCCAGACATGGCCCAAAGTCAGGTATGAATAGCAGGGCAGTATGGTAACGCTGCACTGTTAGAGGTGCAGTGTGGTTCAGGCCGCTGTAGTGCTGTGTAAAACGGGAAAGCCTGACGGTGAAGGTATAGTGTGGTGCAGTGCGGTGAAATGCCTGATTGTCCTTTATTGGCCACATGGTTATGAAGGGCATGCAAGCTTGACATTGAGGGGCAATAGATGCACTATGGTGCATAGATTTCAGACGGGTGAAGCATGGTGCAAGCATGGCCTATATTCTGACACCTTTCACTCAACCGCGTCCATTGTTGCTTCAAACACCATTGACCAGCTCCCCCCCACCTCTTGTTCCAATTTAAAACATCACCTGATCATTACAGGGACGCAGCGGCAGCAGGGGCGGCAGCAGAGCAGTTCATCCCACCAGTGGTGGTCCCCAAGGGGCTGAATCGCCTCTACTTCCTCTTTGGAGCGCCCATCAGAACAAAGGGTGAGCAGAATGTGTGGGAGAGTTTTTGCACGGATGCAGCTGCAGCCAGGGCGGCGGCAGAGCAGTTCATCCCACCTGTCGTGGTCCCCAAGGGGCTGAATCGCCTCTACTTCCTCTTCCAGGCACCCATCCGAACAAAGGGTGAGTGGAATGTGTGGGAGAGTTTTTGCACGGATGCAGCAGCAGCAGAGCAGTTCATCCCCCCAGTGGTGGTGCCCAAGGGGCTGAACCGCCTCTACTTCCTCTTCCAGGCGCCCATCCGAACAAAAGGTGAGAAGAATGTGTGGGAGAGTCTTTGCAGGGATGCAACAGCAGCCAGGGAGGCAGCAGAGCAGTTCAGTTCATACCACCAGTGGTGGCGCCCAAGGGGCTGAACCGCCTCTACTTCCTCTTTGGGGCGCCCATCCGAACAAAGGGTGAGCGCTGGTAGCGGCGGTGAAGCAAGGTGCAGTGGTAGTGATGGTGGTGACCCAAGGGGTAGTGATAGTGGTGGCGACTTCAGGGGCGGCAGCAGGGCAGTCGTGGTCCCCAACCCAAGGGGCTGAACCGCCTCTACTTCCTCTTCCAGGCGCCCATCCGAACAAAGGGTGAGCATTGTAGTGTTGGTGAAGCAAGGGGGCAATAGTAGTGGCTGTGACTTGAAGGGGCGGCAGCACAGCAGTTCATACCACCAGTCGTGGTGCCCAAGGGCCTCAACCGCCTCTGCTTCCCTTTTACAGGCGCCCATCAGAACCAAGAGTGAGCAGTGTGGTGGTGGTGGTAATCCAAGGGGCAGTCATAGTGGCTGTGACCCAAGGGGCAGCAGCAGCGCAGTTCATCCCGTCAGTCGTGACGGCCGAGGGGCTGAACTGCCTCTACTTCCTCTTCCAGGCACCCATCCGAACAAAGGGTGAGTGGAATGTTCTTTGGGCACTGAAGTGCGCGAGTGTTTGTGGAGGTATGCAGCAGCAGTAGCAGGGGCAGCAGCAGCGCACTTCATCCTGTCAGTCGTGACGCCCAAGGGGCTGAACTGCCTCTAATTCCTCTTCAAAGCAGCCATCAGAACCAAGGGTGAGTGGAATGTTCTTTGGGCACTGAAGTGTGCGAGTGTTGCTGCAGGTATGCAGCAGCAGTAGCAGGGGCAGCAGCAGCGCAGTTCAACCCACCAGTCGCGAAGCCCAAGGGGCTGAACCGCCTCTACTTCCTCTTCAAAGCACCCACCGGAACCAAGGTTGAGAGGAGTCGATATTTTTCGAAAAAGGGTTTAGTGGTAGTGATAGTGGTTATTTTGGTGGCATAAGGGGTTGCAGTGTCTGGTGAGGGAGGAGGACCCATACAAGAAAACACTATTTTCCCTCCTCCCTAACAATCCCCCATCCCCACCCATCTACAACTCCGGGAACCCCTTTCCAACCAGGCATGAAGCACCAGGCAGCAGCAGCAGAGCTGTATGCGCATGTGAAGGGGGAGGTGCAAGATGGGCTGCACTATCTTCTGAGGAAGAGGGAGGAGGAACCTTACGATGAATCACTATTTTCTCTACCACTAATACCCCATCCACACCCATCCACACCCATCCACACCCATCCACACCCCCCTGATCCCCTTGTTAACCAGGCATGTCCCACCTGCTGACAGACAAGGCAGCAGCAGCAGAGCTGTATGCGCATGTGAAGGGGGAGGTAGAGGGTGGGCTGCAGTACCTGCTGAGGAAGAGAAAGGAGGACCCTTATAATGACCCTGTGGCGCGATTGCTGTATGAGGCCACGTGGGGTGGGGAGAAGCAGGCTCCCACGTTCAAGCCATAGCAGATGACCTTTTATAGGGGATGTAGAGGATAGTATCTGCTGAGGAAAAGGGAGTAGGAGGATTCTTACAATGACCCTGTGTCACCTTTGGTGTATGAGAATCCTCAGCACGATTACAGTGGCGCGATTGCTGTATGAGGTCACCTGGGGTGGGGAGAAGCAAGCTCCCACCTTCAAGCCTTGATGGAGATTTGTATGTAAGGGAGAGGTAGAGTACGGGGTGCAGTATCTGCTGAGAGAAAGGAGGATTCTTACAATAGCCCTGTGTCACCTTTGGTGTATGAGGCCACGTGGGGAGGGGAGAGGCAAGCTCCCACGTTCAAGCCTTGACAGAGATTTGAGTTGTATGTGAAGGGGAGGTAGAGGAAGAGGGGTTGCAGTATCTGCCGAGGAAGAAGGAAGAGGGTCCTCCTTAAAATGACCCTCTGGCGCAGTTGGTGTATGAAGCCACGTGGGGAGGGGATCCACCCCCCTGCCATCCTGACGGTGAAGGTATAGTGTGGTGCAGTGCGGTGAAATGCCTGATTGCCCTTTATTGGCCACATGGTTATGAAGGGCATGCAAGCTTGACATTGAGGGGCAATAGATGCACTATGGTGCATAGATTTCAGACGGGTGAAGCATGGTGCAAGCATGGCCTATATTCTGACACCTTTCACTCAACCGCGTCCATTGTTGCTTCAAACACCATTGACCAGCTCCCCCCCACCTCTTGTTCCAATTTAAAACATCACCTGATCATTACAGGGACGCAGCGGCAGCAGGGGCGGCAGCAGAGCAGTTCATCCCACCAGTGGTGGTCCCCAAGGGGCTGAATCGCCTCTACTTCCTCTTTGGAGCGCCCATCAGAACAAAGGGTGAGCAGAATGTGTGGGAGAGTTTTTGCACGGATGCAGCTGCAGCCAGGGCGGCGGCAGAGCAGTTCATCCCACCTGTCGTGGTCCCCAAGGGGCTGAATCGCCTCTACTTCCTCTTCCAGGCACCCATCCGAACAAAGGGTGAGTGGAATGTGTGGGAGAGTTTTTGCACGGATGCAGCAGCAGCAGAGCAGTTCATCCCCCCAGTGGTGGTGCCCAAGGGGCTGAACCGCCTCTACTTCCTCTTCCAGGCGCCCATCCGAACAAAAGGTGAGAAGAATGTGTGGGAGAGTCTTTGCAGGGATGCAACAGCAGCCAGGGAGGCAGCAGAGCAGTTCAGTTCATACCACCAGTGGTGGCGCCCAAGGGGCTGAACCGCCTCTACTTCCTCTTTGGGGCGCCCATCCGAACAAAGGGTGAGCGCTGGTAGCGGCGGTGAAGCAAGGTGCAGTGGTAGTGATGGTGGTGACCCAAGGGGTAGTGATAGTGGTGGCGACTTCAGGGGCGGCAGCAGGGCAGTCGTGGTCCCCAACCCAAGGGGCTGAACCGCCTCTACTTCCTCTTCCAGGCGCCCATCCGAACAAAGGGTGAGCATTGTAGTGTTGGTGAAGCAAGGGGGCAATAGTAGTGGCTGTGACTTGAAGGGGCGGCAGCACAGCAGTTCATACCACCAGTCGTGGTGCCCAAGGGCCTCAACCGCCTCTGCTTCCCTTTTACAGGCGCCCATCAGAACCAAGAGTGAGCAGTGTGGTGGTGGTGGTAATCCAAGGGGCAGTCATAGTGGCTGTGACCCAAGGGGCAGCAGCAGCGCAGTTCATCCCGTCAGTCGTGACGGCCGAGGGGCTGAACTGCCTCTACTTCCTCTTCCAGGCACCCATCCGAACAAAGGGTGAGTGGAATGTTCTTTGGGCACTGAAGTGCGCGAGTGTTTGTGGAGGTATGCAGCAGCAGTAGCAGGGGCAGCAGCAGCGCACTTCATCCTGTCAGTCGTGACGCCCAAGGGGCTGAACTGCCTCTAATTCCTCTTCAAAGCAGCCATCAGAACCAAGGGTGAGTGGAATGTTCTTTGGGCACTGAAGTGTGCGAGTGTTGCTGCAGGTATGCAGCAGCAGTAGCAGGGGCAGCAGCAGCGCAGTTCAACCCACCAGTCGCGAAGCCCAAGGGGCTGAACCGCCTCTACTTCCTCTTCAAAGCACCCACCGGAACCAAGGTTGAGAGGAGTCGATATTTTTCGAAAAAGGGTTTAGTGGTAGTGATAGTGGTTATTTTGGTGGCATAAGGGGTTGCAGTGTCTGGTGAGGGAGGAGGACCCATACAAGAAAACACTATTTTCCCTCCTCCCTAACAATCCCCCATCCCCACCCATCTACAACTCCGGGAACCCCTTTCCAACCAGGCATGAAGCACCAGGCAGCAGCAGCAGAGCTGTATGCGCATGTGAAGGGGGAGGTGCAAGATGGGCTGCACTATCTTCTGAGGAAGAGGGAGGAGGAACCTTACGATGAATCACTATTTTCTCTACCACTAATACCCCATCCACACCCATCCACACCCATCCACACCCATCCACACCCCCCTGATCCCCTTGTTAACCAGGCATGTCCCACCTGCTGACAGACAAGGCAGCAGCAGCAGAGCTGTATGCGCATGTGAAGGGGGAGGTAGAGGGTGGGCTGCAGTACCTGCTGAGGAAGAGAAAGGAGGACCCTTATAATGACCCTGTGGCGCGATTGCTGTATGAGGCCACGTGGGGTGGGGAGAAGCAGGCTCCCACGTTCAAGCCATAGCAGATGACCTTTTATAGGGGATGTAGAGGATAGTATCTGCTGAGGAAAAGGGAGTAGGAGGATTCTTACAATGACCCTGTGTCACCTTTGGTGTATGAGAATCCTCAGCACGATTACAGTGGCGCGATTGCTGTATGAGGCCACCTGGGGTGGGGAGAAGCAAGCTCCCACCTTCAAGCCTTGATGGAGATTTGTATGTAAGGGAGAGGTAGAGTACGGGGTGCAGTATCTGCTGAGAGAAAGGAGGATTCTTACAATTACCCTGTGTCACCTTTGGTGTATGAGGCCACGTGGGGAGGGGAGAGGCAAGCTCCCACGTTCAAGCCTTGACAGAGATTTGAGTTGTATGTGAAGGGGAGGTAGAGGAAGAGGGGTTGCAGTATCTGCCGAGGAAGAAGGAAGAGGGTTCTCCTTAAAATGACCCTCTGGCGCAGTTGGTGTATGAAGCCACGTGGGGAGGGGAGAGGAGCAGGCTCCCACGTTCAAGCCTTGATGGAGATTTGTATGTAAAGGGGAGGTAAAGGATGGGCTGCAGTATCTGCTGAGGAAGAAGGAAGAGGTTCCGTACAATGACTCTATGGCCCGATTGCTGTATGAGGCCATGTGGGCAGGAGAGAAGCAGGCTCCCACGTTCAAGCCTTGACAGAGGTTTGTACTGCATGTATAGGGGAGGTAGAGGATGGGCTGCAGTATTTGGGGAGGAAGAAGGAAGAGGGTCCTCCTTATAGTTATAAGAGGATGGAGAGGTTGTGTTGCAAATGCTAAATTTACCAAGACCTGTACCGTACATGCTTGAATACTATCTTACCGTAGTTCTTCATTCAACATGCAACAAGATTGAGTAGAGGTGTACAATGTATTTATTGTATGAGTATTCTGCCACTAACACTCTATTACTACAAGAGAAATGGTGAAGTACCTAATTTTGTCAAATCGGCTTGAAAGGAAGAATTCACGCACATGGTGAAAGGCTGTACCTGCGCCTCCAACCGCTTACTGTAGATGCACGCACATGGTGAAGGTTGTACCTGCGCCCCAAACCAGCATAGAACCAGGTCACAACACAGGTTCAAAGCCCCAAGTCGCGAGATCAGGTCGAAATGTCTGAGACACCTGCGGTTCGATCTTCATTGTTTCAGGCCCCGCGCCGCATCAGCCTCGCTCTCAGGACGTCATCCAACCAATCCCAACGCGGGAATGCCCCAGCATTCCACTGGATATTCATCATACAAATCTACCCCTCGATAACAATTTCATCACAGTGAATTGCAAACAACGCCATTGAAGCAGAGTCGAAACTACTAAATTGTTGCGCCCAATCGTCCTCGCTAGTAGTTAGCTCGTCAGAATGGCTCGATCCGTGCTTCTAGCGCTCTCCCTTACGTTGCTCGTCGTTTTCGCGCGCGCCGGAAGTCCCCTCACGAGCTCCTCCGCGAATGAGAAACCCGACCCGAGCGGAAAAAAAGACGACGGGCTGATGACCGACATTCCGCAGGACATAGCGAAACTTGCCGCAGCGGGTAACGCGGCAGGTGTAACATACGTCGATACCGCGCAGGATTCGTTTTTCATGGCTGACGTGAAGAAGGCCGGCTGGAACGCGCAGAAATGCCCGCCGGGTTTGAACAAGGAGCTTGCGGGTGCCTGCACACCGAAAAATTGCTCCAAGGGAGGGATCGCCGCCAAGTGGAAAACCGCATATCTGCAGAAGAACAAGCTCGGTTACGAATTGTACGTACCGGGTAACCCGCTGACTCTGCTCAAGGCGAACCCTGCGTCGTGCTGCAACACCTGCGCCGCGACGCCGCTCTGCACGTACTGGCAATACATCCCCGATATTACCATCGACGGGAAGAAGGGAAAAGGCGCGTGTTATTTGATTCACGACCAGATTGATTTCACGTGCGGAGAAATGACCGCGCAGTACAGTACCGAGACGAAGCCCGTGAATCTCCAGGTGCGCATCGGCGGCGAGTGTAACCCTAGCGCGAAAATTCTCAACGACCCGCATTTGGTCGGCGCGCAGGGCACGCATTTCGACTTCAACGGCCGGCCCGACAAGGCGTTTTGCCTGCTTACCGACAGGAATCTTCACGTGAACATGCTGCTGAGGGGTTATTATGACGAGAACACCGATAACGCGGCGCTTGTTGTTGACGGGAAGGCCGTGCACACGTGGATTAAGGAGCTGGGTATTGTGTGGACTGCGGGAGGCGTGGATCGTAAGTTCCGGATCGCAGCGCGCGGCGGCAAGCAGCAGGAGCGCGGCGACGGCTTCGTGAAGAGCATCGAGATTGACGGCGAGGAGATCCCTCGCATGCAGGTCGGCGATAGGGTTACCAGCGCTGGCGGGTTGACGATCGAATTCCGCGGGTTGGAGAAGGAGGGGCCGTTCGACGTGGATTATTACATGCTCTCTATCGCAGGGTCAATTACCCTCGACCTGCGCCTGCGCGTCGCGCACCCCAAGCTCCAGACCCCCACGGATGCCGAGGCGCACATCAACGTCGGGATTGCCGAGCTCGAGCACACGGAGGAGATTCACGGCGTGCTCGGACAGACGTACCGCGCGGATCACGCCGCCCGCGCCGCGGATTTCCAGCGCCTCGTTTCGAGCCTGCACCGTCCGATCTCCGCCGATGGCGCCGAGGGGAAGGGGTTTTTGGATGGGACTCCCCGGTCGTACGAGGCGAGCGATGTGCTTGCTGTGGACTGCGCTTATACCGCGTATGGTCGCGCCAGGAAGGTGATGCCCGTGCAGGAGTTCCCATAAAGAGCTGACTCGGAGAGAATGATTGTGGGCTGTATTGTAGAGTGGGCCGAATTTTCTACATTTTTTTCTTGGAGATTTTATAGTGCTCCTTTTAGGAACCATGATTGACGTTTCTGATTAAATCTCTTGGTACAAAACGCAGTGACCTGCTCCTTATTCTGGGAATTGAATCACATGATGTCCTAGGTATGTACACGTTTGCAAACATGGTTTTGCCATGCCTCTGACTGCAGATGAGGTTCCACAAGCCATGCCTCTGACTGCAGATGAGGTTCCACAAAAAGATCCAACTAACTTGGTGCAGAGCTGACTGGAGCAATACACAGGAGGCCATATTATTGAGACCAAAGACGGAGAAAAACGAGCGGTTACGTCATGGGTCTTAGGAACGAGCAAAGTCTAGCGCACTGGCCCACAATCCCTGGGAGGCCATACCTGGGGAGATGGAAGGAAGGCAACACAGCAGCAGATTGAAACGGGGAGAAGGGAAGTGATTAAATGAGCATTCTAAATAATAATCATGTTTTCGAAAGTAGGTTCTGCAATGCAGCATCGATGGACCCACGGGCTAACTTGCCTCCTCCACACTCTCTCAGCCAGTCACTCACTCTGTACACCACCAACACTCCTATTCCCCACTCCCACTGCAGAAAACCCCTCTCGCTCACTCACACTGTAGAAGACCCCCTCTCTCACTCACACTGTAGAAGACCCCCTCTCTCACTCACACTGTAGAAGACCCCCTCTCTCACTCACACTGTAGAAGACCCCCTCTCTCACTCACACTGTAGAAGACCCCCTCTCTCACTCACACTGTAGAAGACCCCCTCTCTCACTCACACTGTAGAAGACCCCCCCTCTCACTCACACTGTAGAAGACCCTCCCCTTGACCAGAGCCAAGGACACGGGGCCGTAGTGGCGAGAGTCTGTGGAGTAGAGGAGATCGCCTCCCTTCCATGAGCATGTGCTCTCATTGCTATGCCATGCTCTGTCTTGTATTCTTCTACGCCCCCCCTCTATCCTCTACTCACTCGCACAGTCGCACTCACTCGGTAGGACACTCGTCCCTTGACCAGGGCAAGGGGCACGGGGCCATAGTGGCGCGCGTCTGTGGAGTTGAAGAGATTGTCTCCCTGCTGACACACATGCTGTTCCCTCTCCTATCCCTCTCCTGTCCCTCTCACTCCCTCTGCTCCCTCTCACTCACTCTGTAGAAGACTCTGCCCTTGACTAATGCCAGGGGCACGGGGCCATAGTGACGCGAGTCTGTGGAGTTGAAGGGATTGTCTCCTTGCTGTGACCACACATGCCCTCCCTTCTACAGTCTCCCTCTATCCTCTGCGCCCTCTCACCCTCACTCACTCTGTAGAAGACCCTGCCCTTGACTAATGCCAGGGGCACGAGGCCATAGTGTCGAGAGTCAGTGGAGTTAAAAAGGTTGTCTCCCTGCAACCATACGTGGCCTCGTGGGACCTGATGGGGTGGCAGGGAGTGCAGTGCGGTGGAAGGGAAGTAAGGTTGTGATTGAGACCACGGAGGTAAGGAGGGAGCGAATTTGGAACGTGTCAGAAGCACATGCATCGCTCATCACAGGGCCCCTCCTCCCCTCTCTCCCCCCCCCCTTTCCTGTGTGCCTACACACTGACCCTGAACCTCAACCCCTGCATTACTCACTACTCTGTGTATCACCACAGTGGCTAAGCGTGCATCGTGCGAGGATTTGAAGGGAAATGTACACCTCATGTTACTGCATAGGGGCTATATGCAGCCCTGCATGTGTTCCCCCATGCGCCACTCACTCACCTATGTGGCCCTGCTGGCCTGCCTCCTCTATGTCCACCCATGAACCCTCTGGTTGGTGGCGGCGGCATGGCATGCACCTCATGGCCCTTCCATCGCCACCACGCGCTTGCACACCATCATGCGCGGGTTAGTAGAGGGCGGGACTTGGCGACTACAGGTGTGAATCACCACTCACTCACCACTACAGCAGCTATACTCACCACTGCATGTGTTTCTGCATGCTTGCCTCTCCCACCCATGAATCCTCTGGGAGGAGGCGGCATGGCATGCACCTCGTGCCCCTCCATTGCCACCACGCGCTTGCACACCATCATGCGCGGGTTAGAGGGGGACTTGGCGACGACAATATCGCCGGGCTTTAAGGCATGCAGGGCGGGCGTGATGTGCTCTAGTAGGACCACGTCCCCTGCTGCATTCAATGTTGGCAGCATGCTGGGACCCATGCACTGGAACAGTGGGAAGGAGGGAGAGAGGGGGATTAGAGGGGGACTTAGCCACGACAATGTCGCCGGGCTTTAAGGCATGCAGGGCGGGCGTGATGTGCTTTAGTAGGACCACGTCGCCTGCTGCATTCGATGTGGGGAGCATGCTGGGACCCATTCACTGGGGGAAGAGGGGGGAGAGGGCGGGACAGGAGGGTTGTCCGGTTTTTAGAACAGCAAGAGTGATTGTGGTGCCCCCCACCTTGAAAAGTGTTGCGAGGAGTTGGGCGAAAGGGTAACAGCCCTCGCTCACAACAACCCTGTCAACTTTCTGTGAGCACCTCCCCCACAGCCCATCCGTCAACCTTACTAAGGTTGAACAATTTGGGCCGCCCCCTTTTAGGTAACATTCACAATTAACAAAGAAATAACATGATGACATTAGAAAGTACTGAACTGACGTCATCACGTACCATGGTGGCATCCACCAAAGTGACGTCGCAACGTACCAGAGTGACATCATCACGTCCCATGGAGACGTCATCACGTACCATGGTGACATCCATGACGTAGTTAGTGAACACATGGTAGCAGCACGCGAACTGGGTCATTAACGCCGCTCTGTCCCACGCCTCTCGCAGCAGCGCACGCCACGTCATCACTCGGCTGGTCGACGTGGATTCGGGTGAATGAGAAGCTGCTGACGTCGACGCTGACGTGAGCTAACGTGCTGGAATCATGGACCTTAATGACTACCAAGCCATCAGCGCTTAGGCGGACACGCGAAATTTGCCAATCACTGCCTTTGAATAGTCAAATAAGGTGATTTTCGAGTCGACGCAAGCTCACAGCTAGCCGTTGTCGGCCTATTACAACGTTGTATGGTACGAAGCTGGCAGCATCGGCAGAATCATGAAATGAGGTTGTATTATGGAGTGGGTTGGGTACGCCAATCTATGGTAATCGGAACGAGAGGAGTTGGCGAAACGAGAGGAGCTGGCGAAATTATACGACTTGGCGAAAAGAGGGGGGACGGTATAGAGTGAGGGATCTCGGATGAGTAGTAATGTCGAAACAAATTACGTCAGCGTGGTTTAAGAGCGAACCGTCTCGAGCGTGTCTGCCGCACACGACCGTATGCTTCGCAAAGCGTGGAGCTATGGCGGAAAATCTACGCCTTCCGAAGTGTCCTGCGGCGAAACATGACTCGGCGGATTTCACGCAGAACTGTGTATGTGCTGGAGCAGCTAATCTAGAACCATGTTATGGAGTTTCCAAGGTGTCTCGGGACTGGAAGATTGGATAGGTCAAGGACGTGTTCTGAACTTCGAGGCGGGCATGAGCTGGAGTCCTCTTTCGATTTTCGCGAATCAGCGTAAGGCGAATGCGAGGAGTTGGAGCTACGAGGCTACAGTTGGCGAACAGGCGGAACCTAATTTAGAGCAGGGTAACCTGGTAGCACTTAAACACGTAAACACGTTCCGAAATGAGCAGGAGTAGGCCCTCGGGGCTTTCTTCCTTGTGAAATGTGTTCTTATACACGGTTAGCTATGGTTTACAGAGGTCGAACGCGGTAAGAGCCCTGCAGATCTCAACCGCGAGGTAGCTTTTCTGAACCACGATGAAAGTAGTGAATGAACAATTGGGAAAATGCCTGTCGAAGCAGAATTTCGATTTCTTAGTCCAGTGGAACGCTTTGCGTCATTCACGGTCACACAAGCAAGCATCGGAGAGTTGAAATTCGGAACACGAGGTCAGCATCGATCGCTGGCGCTGTAGTTCATTTTTTCCATCCGTTGTGGATCTTATGCGATTAATATCTGTCAAGGCTTGACCAGCTCTTCTGCTAGTACCCTCCTGTTCTCCGTGCGAGAGATTTGTTTTCGAAATTCTCGAGAATATCTTGCCGCCATGTCTTCTGACGAGAGTCGTCTCCGTGAGGTCGTCACGGCAATTCTAGAAGCCGGCGACCTGGAAGAATTGACTGAGAAAAAAGTCCGTCAGTTAGCGCGCGAAAAGACGGGGATTGACACGTCAGCAGATGCGAACAAGCAACTAATCCACAAGATAGTTAAAGCCTTCGTGGAGGAGGAAGCGGAGGATCCGATAGCGAAAAAGCGGAAGAAGCGGAGAAAGGGGTCTGATGAGGAAAGCGGGAGTGAGAAAGAAGAGGAGGAAGATGAAAAGGAGAAAGGGAAGGGGAAGTCACGGAAAGGCGGGAAGAAGTGGAAAGTGGGTGACGGCGGAGAGCTTGTGATTTGTGAGGTGAGATTGAGACTGGTTGAGGGTACGATACGCTGAGGCTTGTTGGGACTGGTACCGGTAAGCCTTGTTGGTTCAATTGGTTCAAGAGTAAGAGACTGTCTTCGTGGCAGCGAAATTTGTGACGCATTCTGCGGATTCTATTTTGTGTGCAGAGTCACCTTTTGACGAGTGAGTTGAAGTAACCACGTTATATAAACCCTTCCCTTCCTCACCCCTCCGGCCACCTCATTGTTCCACAGCAGTTTGGGAAACGGAAGGTGACAGTGAGAGAGAGAGCTAGGCCACTTGACGCTATGTTACAACTGCCTTTCCTCACCCCCTTCAGATATATCCTCTTTGCACCAGCTGTCTGGGAAACGGAAGGTGACAGTGAGAGAGAGAGCTAGGCCACTTGACGCTATGTTACAACTGCCTTTCCTCACCCCCTTCAGATATATCCTCTTTGCACCAGCTGTCTGGGAAACGGAAGGTGACAGTGAGAGAGAGAGCTAGGCCACTTGACGCTATGATACAACTGCCTTTCCTCAACCCCTTCAGATATATCCTCTTTGCACCAGCTGTCTGGGAAACGGAAGGTGACAGTGAGAGAGAGAGAGCTAGGCCACTTGACGCTATGTTACAACTGCCTTTCCTCACCCCCTTCAGATATATCCTCTTTGCACCAGCTGTCTGGGAAACGGAAGGTGACAGTGAGAGAGAGAGCTAGGCCACTTGACGCTATGTTACAACTGCCTTTCCTCACCCCCTTCAGATATATCCTCTTTGCACCAGCTGTCTGGGAAACGGAAGGTGACAGTGAGAGAGAGAGCTAGGCCACTTGACGCTATGTTACAACTGCCTTTCCTCACCCCCTTCAGATATATCCTCTTTGCACCAGCTGTCTGGGAAACGGAAGGTGACAGTGAGAGAGAGAGCTAGGCCACTTGACGCTATGTTACAACTGCCTTTCCTCAACCCCTTCAGATATATCCTCTTTGCACCAGCTGTCTGGGAAACGGAAGGTGACAGTGAGAGAGAGAGAGAGAGCTAGGCCACTTGACGCTATGTTACAACTGCCTTTCCTCACCCCCTTCAGATATATCCTCTTTGCACCAGCTGTCTGGGAAACGGAAGGTGACAGTGAGAGAGAGAGAGCTAGGCCACTTGACGCTATGTTACAACTGCCTTCCCCCCCCCCCCCCCCCCCCCCCCCCCCTCATGTATCATTGCTGCACAGCTGTCGGGGAAATAAAGTGAGTAAGTTCAAGGGCGCTTGCTGGGGTGTTGAGCTGACTCAGAAACCATTACATATCTACCCTGCCTTTCCTCGATCCTGTAGATGTATCGTTGCTGCACAGCTGTCGGGGAAATATGAAGTGAGTAAGTTCAAGGGGTGCTTGCCCCTTGTCTTGTGCCAACTCAAAAGCCATCCCGTATCCACCCTGCCTTCCCTCACCCCCCTTTGATACATCACTGCTGCACAGCTGTCTGGGAAGCGCAAGCTAACAGTGAGTGAGTTCAAGGGGCGCTTGCTGGGCTGTTGAGCCGACTAATACTAAAAAAACATCCCTTATTCACCCTGCCTTCCCTCACGCCCCTTTGATATACCATTGTTGTATAGCTGTCTGGGTGACAGTGGGTGAGTTCAAGGGGTGCTTGCTGGTGTGTTTAGCCGGCTCAAAAGCCATCCCGTATCTACCCTGCCTTCCCTCACACCCCTTTGATATACCATTGCTGCACAGTTTTCTGATAAGCGGAAATTGAAAGTGGGTGAGTTCAAGGGGCGCTTGCAGGGCTGTTGAGACGACTCAAGCCACCCTTTTTCAACCCTTTCCTCCCTCAACCGCAGCTGTCTGGGAAGCGCAAGTTGACAGTGGGTGAGTTCAAGGGGTGCTTGCTGGTGTGTTGAGCCGGCTCAAAAACCATCCCGTATCTTCTCTGCCTTCCCTCACCCCTATTGGATTTATTATTGCTGCACAGCTGTCTGGGAAGCGCAAGCTAACAGTGAGTGAGTTCAAGGGACGCTTGCTGGTGTCGATACGCGAGTACTATGAAAAAGGCGGCAAGGAGATGCCCTCCTCTAAAGGTGGGTGCACCATTCCTAACCCTCTCTGACCCTCTCAAACCTTTTCTGGTTACTTGAACTGGTGAGTGAGTTCAAAGGGCGCTTGCTTGGTCGTGTCGATACGCGAGTGACAAAGGCGGCAAAGAGATGCCCTCCTCTAAAGGTTGTTTCATAACATCTGTTATTCGCTGTCAAAGCCACCATCATTTCCGTTCATGGCTGTTAAGATACCACTAGATACCACTAGATATGCCCACGTTACATGGCCCCCTGCACCAAGTTTATTATGTTCACTGCTACATGTGGCCCCCACCTCACCTCTCTGACCATATCTCTCCTTGCTTGCACCCATGCTTGCAGGCATCAGCCTCCCTAATGACCAATGGGATAAGCCGGTGCGACTCTGACTGCCATGCGCTTCAGTTCACCACTTCACCTCACCACTCTGGCCGACTCTCCGTGTGTTCTTCCCCCAAGCTTGCAGGCATCAGCCTCCCTCCCTAATGACCTGGGATAAGCTAGTGAGGCACATCGATACAGTACAGGAGGAGCGCACTGAGCACTTGTCATACATTTACTTATGATTTCCCAATATCATGTTCTTTTCTTGATTTTCCTCCTGCTTGCAGGTATCAGTCTTCCTAATGACCAATGGGATAAGCTGGTGCGACACATTGATACACTACAGGAGGCGATCAAACATTTGTCATAGACTTTTGAGTCGAGTCGCAAGCTCATACTGTATAAAAGGCCATAATACGACTACTACCTGATGAATGGGTCACATTGATAGCACCGGTATAGGAGCGCACTGAACATTTGTCATGGGTTGTTTCTTACAGTACAGCAGACATTTGCATATCGTAATTCTCCCTCAAAGCAGTTTCAAAAGAATGTTTTCTAGGTTACATGGAGTTTATCAAACGTACCTAGTTTTTTCCAGCAAACTGTTTTCGTCATCAAATGGCAATGATAACTGGGCAATGAAAACTGGTGCAGGTTTGGCTAGTAAATATATAAAGCTTGCTAGAGTAGTATTGTATCTAGCAGGTGCAAGGCATCTCTAGAGTCTAGACTCACCACACAAAAAAGGTAAGGCATGCTGCTTTGTAAAAGCAAAAAACAGAACAGAAACAGAAACAGCAGAAACTGCTGAAACTAGGGTAAAAGAAGGTGTTAGGCATAGCGCCATGCCATGCCAGTGATGTTTTCATAAATTGGGACTATAAAGTCCGCATAATTATGTCAGCCAGGGTAGAAGGGGTTTTTCCCTCCTTTAATTCGCCGAGCCACACATGCGGGGTGGGGGGAAGGGGGTGAGGAGGGGAAAGGGGGGTGGAGGGTGGGGGTGGAATGCAGGATGGCTCATAAGCAGTGAAGGAAGTGTTTTTCCCTCCTTTGATTTGCCGAGCCAGTTGGATATCTCGAATCACTGGCACCACAGATGTGGGGTGGGGGGAGGTGAGGAAGGGGAGGGACGGAGGAGGGCGGGAGGACGGCAGTGTGCTGTTACATGAACTATCTATCACAGTGGTCCTCAGCCCAGTGGGATGTCTCGCATCACTGACAGCACACATGTAGGGCGGGGGGAAGGGAGGCGGAGGAGGAGGTGTCGGGTGTGTGGGGGGGAAGGAGGGGGGGGGGGGGGGGGGGGGGGGGGGAAGAGGGAGGGAGGAGGAGGTGGGGGGGAGGGAGAGGAGGAATGCACGAGGGCTTGTAAGAAGTGAGATGTATGCCGTTACACATATGAAGTATCTATCACAGTGGCCATCAATCAGTGTGATGTCTCAAACCACTGCCACCTCAGGTGGGGCAGGAGGAGGCCACTGGTGGGGGTGGGGAGGGTGCTTTTGAGTCGACTCAAAAGCAGACTCAATTAGTGTGATGTCTCAAACCACTGCCACCTTAGGTGGGGCAGGAGGAGGCCACAAGTGGGGGTGGGGAGGGGGGGAGCGGTTGGGGGGGGACATAAAGCACGAGGGCTTACAGAAGTGAAGAGGGTGCAAAAAAAACGAAAAAGAAAAAGAAAAGGAAAAGGAAAATAAAAAATAAAAGAAAGAAAGAAAGAAAAAAATGCTTTGCAGTGAGAAACGAAGATGCTTACTTGAAGTAGCTCGTTTGGAGTGTATGGCGAGCAGAACTTCGTCTTCAAACAAGTCCACGAGATAGGCCTCTGCTGCCTGGTAGGGGGGGGGAGGAAAAAGGAGGGGATCAAGGGGAAGGGAGGGGGAGGGTGGTGAACAGAGCAGACCACCGTCTTCAAACAGGCTCACGAGATAAGCCTCTGCTGCCTGGTTGTGGGGGGAGAGGGGCGGGTGGAGTTGGGTAAGGGGAGGAGGGAGGGGACGGGGAGTGTGTGAGCATGCTAATCCCTTGTCTGAGTGTATGGCGAGCAGAACGCCCAAACAAGCTCACCAGATAGGCCTCCGCTGCCTGATGGAGGAGGTGGGGGGGGGGGTTGGGTAGGGGGGAGGAGGGAGGGGGGGGGGGGGGAGTTTGTGAGCATGCTAGTCTCGTGTTTGAGTGTATGGCAAAGAGAAGTCTGTCTTCAAACAAGCTCACCAGATAAGCCTCTGCTGCCTGATTGGGGTGAGGGGGGGAAGGAAGGGAGCAGAAAGGAGAGTATAAAGTGGAAAGTGGGGGGCGGAGTGAGCAGAACAGAACAGCGTCTTTGAACAAGCTGACGAGATAGGCCTCTGCTGCCTGATAGTGGGGGGGAGAGGGGGCGGGGAGTGTGTGAACATGCTAGTGACTTGTTTGGAGTGTATGGCGAGCAGACCAGCGTCTTCGAACAAGCTCACGAGATAAGCCTCTGCTGCCTGATAGAGGGGGGGGGAGGAAAAAGGAGGGGATCAGGGGGAAGGGAGGGGGAGGGTGGTGAACAGAGCAGACCACCGTCTTCAAACAGGCTCACGAGATAAGCCTCTGCTGCCGGATAGGGGGGTAGAAGAAAGTACAGGATAAAGCGGAAGGGAAGGGTAGGGTTGTGAACAGAGCAGAACGCCGTCTTTGAACAAGCTCACAAGATAGGCCTCTGCTGCCTGGTAAGGGGGAGAAGTAGAAAGAGGAGTTGCATATACAGCAGAAGGAGGGAGTTGGGGGTCGGGTATGTACAGAACCACGAATGGAATCAAGCTCACCCGATAGGCCCCTGCTGCCTGATAGGGGGGGGGGGGTGTGCAAGCGGAAGGTATATCAAGGGGAGGTGGGGGTTTGGGGTAGTGGAGAAGAGGGGTTTGGGGTAGTGGAGAAGAGGGGTTTGGGGTAGTGGAGAAGAGGGGTTTGGGGTAGTGGAGAAGAGGGGTTTGGGGTAGTGGAGAAGAGGGGTTTGGGGTAGTGGAGAAGAGGGGTGGTGGGGGCGGGGAGTGTATGACGGAACACCCACCCTTTTCAAACTCTTGAGGCGCCTCAAAAACCTTTTCATACAAGCTCACTAGAGAGCCTCTGTTATGCAAGGGACAAGTGGCGGACGAAAGCGAGGAGGAGTGCGAGTTGACTTTTGAGTCGACTCAAAAGTCAACTCGCCTCTGTTATGCCAGGAACAAGTGGGAGAATAAAGCGAGGAGTGCGGAGCGGGGGGAAGGGGGGGGGGGGGAGGTGGGGTTGGGAAGAGGGGGTGGAGAGTGGAAAGTGTGCTGGGCACAATCATCAGAACTCCCTGTATCGGCCTTTGCTATCTAATTGGGTGGGGCAAGTGGGGGAATGAAGCGAGGAGTGGGGGGCGTGGGCGAGGGTGGGTGGGTTGTGGGGGGGGATGGTGAAGAGGGGGTGGGGAGCAAAGAGTGAGGTGAACACAATCATCAAAGAGTGAGGTTAGCACAATCATCAAAGAGTGAGGTTAGCACAATCATCAAAGAGTGAGGTTAGCACAATCATCAAAGAGTGAGGTGAACACAATCATCAAAGAGTGAGGTTAGCACAATCATCAAAGAGTGAGGTGAACACAATCATCAAAGAGTGAGGTTAGCACAATCATCAAAGAGTGAGGTTAGCACAATCATCAAAGAGTGAGGTTAGCACAATCATCAAAGAGTGAGGTTAGCACAACCATCAAAGAGTGAGGTTAGCACAGTCATCGAAGCTTCCCCCATAGGCCTCTGCACACCACCGCACTCCCTAACACTCCAATCCCTATCACTGCACTCCCTACCAACGCACTCCCTATTACTGCAAACCCTACCACCGCACTCCATACCATCACAATTCTGACCACCGCACTCCAAACCATCACACTTCCTTCCACCCCCTCCCACCTCTTGCAGCCCCAATACGGCTTCAGCAGTCCATCTCACATCATGCATAGGGGGAATCTGAATGATCCGTGATAGCCCTTGTTTACCCCCTACCACCGCACGCCACACCACCACAATTCACAGCACCGCACTCCCTATCACCACACTTCACACCAGCCCACTCCCTTCCACCGCACTGCACACCACTGCACTCCCTACCACCCCTTCGCACCTCTTGCAGCCACAGCACGGCATCAGCAGTCGGGCAAAGGGGTGAGGAGAGGGGTGTTCGGAAAGGAGGAGGGGTTGGGGAGAGGGAGAGGGAAAGCAGCACAAAAACAGAACCACAGGCGGCTTAGGGCAATCGCCTAAAGTAATCTCCTTGCACGGGTTGGGAGATGGTGAAACTTACAAGTCGCATGAACGGCAGCTTGCGAATAAGGAGGTCCGTGGTCTTCTGGTACCTCCTCCTAATCTCCATTAGTGCCACTGTTCCCGGCCGATAGCGGTGCGGCTTGCGCTTGATCCCTGAGAGCAAGGTAAGACGAACGCAATAGATGGAAGGGGAAAGGAAGGGGAGGGGAGGAGGGGGGGGGGGGGGGGGGGGGGGGGGGGGGGAGGGGGGTAAGGAGGTCCGTGGTCTTCTGGTACCTCCTGATCTCCATTAGTGCCACTGTCCCCGGCCGGTAGCGGTGCGGCTTGCACTTAATGCCTGAGAGCGAGAAAGGTAACAAAGCATGGCAAATAAGACACGATGATGGGTTTTGAGTAAAAGAAGAATGCCACTGTTCCCGGCCGGTAGCGGTGCGGCTTGCGCTTTATTCCTGGGAGAAAAAGAAGAAAGAGAAAAATGCAAGCAACGAGAGAGGATGGAGAGTCGTCTCGACACACGGTGGCACGTTCGCCATTAGTGCCACTGTCCCCGGCCGGTAGCAGTGCGGCTTGCGCTTAATGCCTGACGGAGTAAGTGGGATGAGACACACCAACTTCTGAGGCGCATGAATAGCGAGAAAGACGCCTCGGCAATGTATCCACGATGAGACGGACGGAACGACGAAGGGAATTCGAGGAGGGGAGACGCGGAAGTGGGGGGAGGGAGGGGGGAAACGGGAAAGGAAGGTGGGGTGGGTGGGGGGGATGCGATTAGGCCGCCCTCATCCAGGACAACTCTCGAGGCGCATTAATAGTTGGGGGTGGAAGGGACGACGACTCGGCCCTGCATCCAGGATGAGACGGATGAGACGGATGAGAGGAATAACGAAGGGAAAACCGAGGAGGGGAGAGACGGAAAAGGGGGGAGGGGGAAAAGGGGAAGGAAAAGAACGAAGCATAAGGAACGGGGATCAGAGCGAGCAATTCAGGTTCGTGGCTGTCAATTTGAAAAATGAAATTTGTTGTGAGGCACCTAAGAAACAGACTTACTTTCAATGGCGCACTTGCCACTGTCGTTGTGACATGACTAGGCTAGCATCATGGCTGCTAGCCGAACCTTCGAACTTTTTTAATCGACTTATACATCATCTCCTGCTAGCCCAACCTTCAACAATTCGAAAAAAAAGTGGAGAGAACAATTCAGGCAAACCACAAGGCGCTTACCTTCGGGTGCTCTGGATTTTTTTTTTGGAGTGCCTTTAGTGGCCTTAGCCGGCGTCGAAGCCGACTCCGCCGCCGCCGCCTCCGCCTCCGCCGCTGCCGCCGCGGCGTTTGCCTTGCTCCGCTTGGGCATGCGCTGCTTAGACCTCGCCATGCTTATAACGAATCAGAACTGTACGATGGAAAAACTGGCGTAGAAACTCTCTCGCTATGTAAGGCCCACACAACTTCCAATACAGACTTTCTCGACCAGTCTGGAGGGACAAACGCCTGATTTCGAGTCAAACCTAAGGATCAATAGATTTCCTCTGTCACACTGCTCCCTCAGAGCAGAGCATTTGCAGGACTTACTTTTGCTACGAAAACAGCAGAGGGGTCAGTTCTTTTGCAACGTCTACGATTGAAAGTCAAGGGCTATATCGCCGAGCGGTAAGATACGGATAGGTCCGGCGTATCAATGAGCAGAAAAGAAACAAGATCGGAGTCGTGATTATAGAGTAGGAACGGAAAACGAGAAGCTGTTGGGCCTGCACTGAGCTTGCGCGTGAGGGGAGGAAACATGAAAGCGAAGAAATCGAGGTGGAGGCACGGAGAATGGCAGGGGCCATTGTCACCTCCATGTGCATGAGCTGGTTTCATGCGGTTTAGAGGCATATCACTACGTTTTAGGACGCTTCATATGACTTTCAACGCGGTTGGATACTACGAAATGTCGCGCAAAGAATTATACGTCCCTGAAGTGGAATGAACCACTTGGAAAGTGCGGGCGCGAAATTATCAAAGTGCAAGATGACAAAGGGTCGAGCAGCACGTCGCCGGAGATGGAGACGCGTGGCAATAAGGTGCCCAATCAGTAATGCTTGCGCCCTTCGTAATAAGAGGCAACCTACGTGCGCGCATGATCTCTTGTTCTAAAATAGTTCTTATAGAAAGGGCTCGTTAGCGGTCGATGAAATTAAAACACAGAAACTGGTATGCCAGTATATATGAGATGATAACTTATTACCAACAATAATTCTGTGAAAGGGCTCGTTACCTGCAAATACAGCTTGCATAACATAACCTTGCTAATAAAATTTAGATATAGGGAGGAATCGACACTGTATAATCAATGAAACGATGAGCTTACAAATACGGCGAGATTAGAATCAGTAAAGGGGTATCCGAGAAAACATAATGAGATTGCAAACACTTCTATATCATGCACTCATAATTAAGGAACATCGCTAGGCAAGAAGGCATCGTCTAATTTACTGAAGCCTTTGTACGAAAAGGGGTGGTCCCTATCCACTCTTAGATAGTGCATCCGCTTCAGCTGCAGCAGTTTCTACAGCAGCCTCTGCAGCCTCAGCTGAGCTGGCCAACCCATGGGCTTTGAGCAGCTGAGTAAAAGACTCCACTTGGGCGGCATCAATCTTATAAGGGGAATAACGTGCGGATGGGAACGCACGTGTGGTTACATCCTCTCTAAAAGCGTTCAGCGCCTGTTGTATGGCCTCGCCCACCTGGCCGAATGCCTTGCAGAACTTGGGGGTTACCTGCTCAGAAGAGCAACAGAATGCAAACCTCGTTACAACGATGAAATAGTGCGGGCATACTATAGGCTGTTAAGGTAGATGACACAAGCATAACTCATCGTGGAATGCAATAACAACGGAAACTTGAACCCTCTGCCACCAGCCATGGCATGACAGAAGAAGATACCAACAGCATAAATATTTGATACTCAGAAAGATAACGGTATGTAGATGTCGAAAGGTGTACCTTGGCGTGGTGTGGGTGTTGGATCATCCCCAGAAGGTCGTGGTATACCAGCACCTGAAATCAAACGCAGTGTGGTGTGGTGGGTGTGTGTCACAGTGGAAAGTGAGGATGAAAGGAAGGCCCGTTGGATGCATCGAGGGTGCCGCGGCCAGATATCAGGGGGCCTGAAAATTAGGGCCAGCAAACACCTGGAATAGGAAGCATTCGTGATTGAAAATAGAGAAGAAATGTTCGCAACCAAACCAAGTATGGGTTAAGGAGGCTGGAAAGTATGGTTCACAAGCACTTGAATAAGAAAAAGGGTAGTTATAGAATTTATTAAAAAAAGCCTGGAAACTAAAGTTCACAACCACCTGAATAAGAAAAAGCCACGGGTATTTCACCATGGATGTCAGGTTGGGGGGCAAGAAAGGCAGATCATTTCTTCGAGGCGAAAGAAAGGCTTTTGAGGCGCCTCAAAAGGCACATCAATCACTTCAGGCACCAGAAAACGAAGACAACTGAGGATGCCACAGACGGGGATGCTAAGGAGGCTGATGGTCACCGTTCCAATCATGCATTCCTCTTCTCACCTGACCACTGCAGAGCAGCCCTGCACCAATGCCAATGGTGGGAATGTCGACAGCGGCTGTGACCGCCGCTGCCACCACCGCAGGCTAGTTCTGGGCGAGCTTAGAACGTGCCATCCCTCACCCATGCTCACCTGCCCACTGCAGAGCGGCCCTGCACCGATGCCAATGGTGGGAATGTTGACAGCAGCTGTGACTGCCGCCGCCACCACTGCTGGCATACACTCCAAACCGAAGCAACCTGGTTGCCGGGGCTGGCTCAAAGGCCTCTATCTGACCCCCTCACTTGTCCTCACCCCCCTCACCCATGATCTATCCGCACCTGCCCGCTGCAGAGCGGCCCGGCTCCGATGCCAATGCTGGGAATGTCGACAGCAGCTGTGACCGCCGCTGCCACCACTGCTGGCATGCACTCGAGCACCACTGCGAAGCACCCGGCTTCCTGCAATGCTTGTGCGTGTTGTACCACCTGGGAGGGAGGGGGAGGGAGAGGGTAAGCGTACTCAGCAATTTAGCTGCCTGCTGCCACCACTGCTGGCATGCACTCCAGCACCACAGCGAAGCACCCAGCTTCCTGTAGTGCTTGTGCATGTTGTACCACCTGCGAGGGAGGGAGAGAGAGTGACACAGATTGACAGAGGCTACGTGGACTGAGGAGTCAACTATCAGCCACCACTGCTGGCATGCACTCCAGCACCACTGCGAAGCACCCTGCTTCTTGTAAGGCCTGTGCGTGCTGTACCACCTGAGAGAGAGAGGGAGTGGCACAGGGGGTAAGTGCACTGGGCTCGTTAGCTGGCTGGCGGCACCGCCACTGCTGGCATGCACTCCAACACCACTGCGAAGCACCCTGCTTCTTGTAGGGCCTGAGCGCGTTGAGAGTGGCACAGTGGGGGTAAGGTGCACTGAGCAAGTCAGCTGCCTCCTGCCAGCCGCCACTGCAAGCATGCACTCAAGAACCACTGCGAAGCACCCAGCTACTTGCAGCACCCATGCATGCTGGACGACCTGTGAGAGAGAGGGAGATTGGCACAGCAGGTATGTGGACTGACAAGTCATTGCCACCACTGCTCGCATGCACCCCAACACCACCGTGAAGCGCCCAGCTTCATGCAGGGCCTGACACCCACCCCCTGCAGTGCAGTCCCCACCTCCCCCAGGTCTTACCTTGAGAGCACTGGCAGCGGATCTGCCCTGGGGGCGGAACCCTCCCAGCGAGCTGATGGCTTGTGGAGTGAGCCCCACGTGCCCCATCACAGCTATCCCCTCCTCAGATACCGCCCGCGCTGCTGCTGCTGCTGCTGCTGCTGCCCAGACCCACCTCCCCCAGGTCCCACCCACCTTGAGAGCACTGGCAGCGGATCTGCCCTGGGGGCGGAAGCCTCCCAGCGAGCTGATGGCCTGTGGAGTGAGCCCCACGTGGCCCATCACAGCTATCCCCGCCTCAGATACCGCCCGCGCTGCTGCTGCTGCCCGGACCCACCACCCACCCCTGCAGTGCAGGTTTCACCTCCCCCAGGTCCCACTCACCTTGAGAGCACTGGCAACGGATCTGCCCTGGGGACGGAAGCCCCCCAGCGAGCTGATGGCCTGAGGAGTGAGTCCCACGTGCCCCATCACAGCTATACCCGCCTCAGATACCGCCCGCGCTGCCGCCACCCGTGCCGGTATGCCCCCCTCTATCTTGACCGCGTCCATGTTGCCTTCTTTTAACAGCCGCACTGCACTCTCCACCGCCTGTGATTGGATCAAACAGGTGGGAAAAAGAAAGAGTTACTGTGAGGGAATGTATTGCCCTGTCTATCTTGACTGCGTCCATGTTGCCCTCCTTGAGCAATCGCACTGCACTCTCCACTGCCTGTGAGAAATTGGGGCAAGAGAAGGGAGGAAGGGCAAGCATGGTGCCTCAGCTGCTGCCACCCGTGCCGGTATGCCCCCCTTCTATCTTGACTGCGTCCATGTTGCCCTCCTTGAGCAATCGCACTGCACTCTCCAGTGCCTGTGAGTGTATCAGGGCGAGGGGGCAGAAAGGGAGATAGAAAGAATGCCCCTCTATTGAGGCACATCGGATGTCCTTATTGAGACTCGGGTCCCAGCCAGCCTCTGTTGCTGCCACAGCGAGTGTGAACATGTGCCCCCGTCCTATCTACTGCCTCACTAGCAGGCATGATACTCTCATCTGCAGAATCCTCTGTAAATGTCTCACCTGCTGTGGGCTCTGCTCACCTGCTGTGGGCTCGGCTCACCTGCTCCCATCTCTGCTCACCTGCTGTGGGCTCGGCTCACCTGCTCCCATCTCTGCTCACCTGCTGTGGGCTCTGCTCACCTGCTCCCATCTCTGCTCACCTGCTGTGGGCTCGGCTCACCTGCTCCCATCTCTGCTCACCTGCTGTGGGCTCGGCTCACCTGCTCCCATCTCTGCTCACCTGCTGTGGGCTCGGCTCACCTGCTCCCATCTCTGCTCACCTGCTGTGGGCTCGGCTCACCTGCTCCCATCTCTGCTCACCTGCTGTGGGCTCGGCTCACCTGCTCCCATCTCTGCTCACCTGCTGTGGGCTCGGCTCACCTGCTCCCATCTCTGCTCACCTGCTGTGGGCTCGGCTCACCTGCTCCCATCTCTGCTCACCTGCTGTGGGCTCGGCTCACCTGCTCCCATCTCTGCTCACCTGCTGTGGGCTCTGCTCACCTGCTCCCATCTCTGCTCACCTGCTGTGGGCTCGGCTCACCTGCTCCCATCTCTGCTCACCTGCTGTGGGCTCGGCTCACCTGCTCCCATCTCTGCTCACCTGCTGTGGGCTCGGCTCACCTGCTCCCATCTCTGCTCACCTGCTGTGGGCTCTGCTCACCTGCTCCCATCTCTGCTCACCTGCTGTGGGCTCTGCTCACCTGCTCCCATCTCTGCTCACCTGCTGTGGGCTCGGCTCACCTGCTCCCATCTCTGCTCACCTGCTGTGGGCTCTGCTCACCTGCTCCCATCTCTGCTCACCTGCTGTGGGCTCGGCTCACCTGCTCCCATCTCTGCTCACCTGCTGTGGGCTCTGCTCACCTGCTCCCATCTCTGCTCACCTGCTGTGGGCTCGGCTCACCTGCTCCCATCTCTGCTCACCTGCTGTGGGCTCGGCTCACCTGCTCCCATCTCTGCTCACCTGCTGTGGGCTCGGCTCACCTGCTCCCATCTCTGCTCACCTGCTGTGGGCTCTGCTCACCTGCTCCCATCTCTGCTCACCTGCTGTGGGCTCTGCTCACCTGCTCCCATCTCTGCTCACCTGCTGTGGGCTCGGCTCACCTGCTCCCATCTCTGCTCACCTGCTGTGGGCTCTGCTCACCTGCTCCCATCTCTGCTCACCTGCTGTGGGCTCGGCTCACCTGCTCCCATCTCTGCTCACCTGCTGTGGGCTCGGCTCACCTGCTCCCATCTCTGCTCACCTGCTGTGGGCTCGGCTCACCTGCTCCCATCTCTGCTCACCTGCTGTGGGCTCTGCTCACCTGCTCCCATCTCTGCTCACCTGCTGTGGGCTCGGCTCACCTGCTCCCATCTCTGCTCACCTGCTGTGGGCTCTGCTCACCTGCTCCCATCTCTGCTCACCTGCTGTGGGCTCGGCTCACCTGCTCCCATCTCTGCTCACCTGCTGTGGGCTCTGCTCACCTGCTCCCATCTCTGCTCACCTGCTGTGGGCTCGGCTCACCTGCTCCCATCTCTGCTCACCTGCTGTGGGCTCGGCTCACCTGCTCCCATCTCTGCTCACCTGCTGTGGGCTCGGCTCACCTGCTCCCATCTCTGCTCACCTGCTGTGGGCTCGGCTCACCTGCTCCCATCTCTGCTCACCTGCTGTGGGCTCTGCTCACCTGCTCCCATCTCTGCTCACCTGCTGTGGGCTCTGCTCACCTGCTCCCATCTCTGCTCACCTGCTGTGGGCTCTGCTCACCTGCTCCCATCTCTGCTCACCTGCTGTGGGCTCTGCTCACCTGCTCCCATCTCTGCTCACCTGCTGTGGGCTCGGCTCACCTGCTCCCATCTCTGCTCACCTGCTGTGGGCTCTGCTCACCTGCTCCCATCTCTGCTCACCTGCTGTGGGCTCGGCTCACCTGCTCCCATCTCTGCTCACCTGCTGTGGGCTCGGCTCACCTGCTCCCATCTCTGCTCACCTGCTGTGGGCTCTGCTCACCTGCTCCCATCTCTGCTCACCTGCTGTGGGCTCGGCTCACCTGCTCCCATCTCTGCTCACCTGCTGTGGGCTCTGCTCACCTGCTCCCATCTCTGCTCACCTGCTGTGGGCTCTGCTCACCTGCTCCCATCTCTGCTCACCTGCTGTGGGCTCTGCTCACCTGCTCCCATCTCTGCTCACCTGCTGTGGGCTCGGCTCACCTGCTCCCATCTCTGCTCACCTGCTGTGGGCTCTGCTCACCTGCTCCCATCTCTGCTCACCTGCTGTGGGCTCTGCTCACCTGCTCCCATCTCTGCTCACCTGCTGTGGGCTCGGCTCACCTGCTCCCATCTCTGCTCACCTGCTGTGGGCTCGGCTCACCTGCTCCCATCTCTGCTCACCTGCTGTGGGCTCGGCTCACCTGCTCCCATCTCTGCTCACCTGCTGTGGGCTCTGCTCACCTGCTCCCATCTCTGCTCACCTGCTGTGGGCTCTGCTCACCTGCTCCCATCTCTGCTCACCTGCTGTGGGCTCGGCTCACCTGCTCCCATCTCTGCTCACCTGCTGTGGGCTCTGCTCACCTGCTCCCATCTCTGCTCACCTGCTGTGGGCTCGGCTCACCTGCTCCCATCTCTGCTCACCTGCTGTGGGCTCGGCTCACCTGCTCCCATCTCTGCTCACCTGCTGTGGGCTCGGCTCACCTGCTCCCATCTCTGCTCACCTGCTGTGGGCTCTGCTCACCTGCTCCCATCTCTGCTCACCTGCTGTGGGCTCTGCTCACCTGCTCCCATCTCTGCTCACCTGCTGTGGGCTCGGCTCACCTGCTCCCATCTCTGCTCACCTGCTGTGGGCTCTGCTCACCTGCTCCCATCTCTGCTCACCTGCTGTGGGCTCGGCTCACCTGCTCCCATCTCTGCTCACCTGCTGTGGGCTCGGCTCACCTGCTCCCATCTCTGCTCACCTGCTGTGGGCTCGGCTCACCTGCTCCCATCTCTGCTCACCTGCTGTGGGCTCTGCTCACCTGCTCCCATCTCTGCTCACCTGCTGTGGGCTCGGCTCACCTGCTCCCATCTCTGCTCACCTGCTGTGGGCTCTGCTCACCTGCTCCCATCTCTGCTCACCTGCTGTGGGCTCGGCTCACCTGCTCCCATCTCTGCTCACCTGCTGTGGGCTCTGCTCACCTGCTCCCATCTCTGCTCACCTGCTGTGGGCTCGGCTCACCTGCTCCCATCTCTGCTCACCTGCTGTGGGCTCGGCTCACCTGCTCCCATCTCTGCTCACCTGCTGTGGGCTCGGCTCACCTGCTCCCATCTCTGCTCACCTGCTGTGGGCTCGGCTCACCTGCTCCCATCTCTGCTCACCTGCTGTGGGCTCTGCTCACCTGCTCCCATCTCTGCTCACCTGCTGTGGGCTCTGCTCACCTGCTCCCATCTCTGCTCACCTGCTGTGGGCTCTGCTCACCTGCTCCCATCTCTGCTCACCTGCTGTGGGCTCGGCTCACCTGCTCCCATCTCTGCTCACCTGCTGTGGGCTCGGCTCACCTGCTCCCATCTCTGCTCACCTGCTGTGGGCTCTGCTCACCTGCTCCCATCTCTGCTCACCTGCTGTGGGCTCGGCTCACCTGCTCCCATCTCTGCTCACCTGCTGTGGGCTCGGCTCACCTGCTCCCATCTCTGCTCACCTGCTGTGGGCTCTGCTCACCTGCTCCCATCTCTGCTCACCTGCTGTGGGCTCGGCTCACCTGCTCCCATCTCTGCTCACCTGCTGTGGGCTCTGCTCACCTGCTCCCATCTCTGCTCACCTGCTGTGGGCTCTGCTCACCTGCTCCCATCTCTGCTCACCTGCTGTGGGCTCTGCTCACCTGCTCCCATCTCTGCTCACCTGCTGTGGGCTCGGCTCACCTGCTCCCATCTCTGCTCACCTGCTGTGGGCTCTGCTCACCTGCTCCCATCTCTGCTCACCTGCTGTGGGCTCTGCTCACCTGCTCCCATCTCTGCTCACCTGCTGTGGGCTCGGCTCACCTGCTCCCATCTCTGCTCACCTGCTGTGGGCTCTGCTCACCTGCTCCCATCTCTGCTCACCTGCTGTGGGCTCGGCTCACCTGCTCCCATCTCTGCTCACCTGCTGTGGGCTCGGCTCACCTGCTCCCATCTCTGCTCACCTGCTGTGGGCTCGGCTCACCTGCTCCCATCTCTGCTCACCTGCTGTGGGCTCGGCTCACCTGCTCCCATCTCTGCTCACCTGCTGTGGGCTCTGCTCACCTGCTCCCATCTCTGCTCACCTGCTGTGGGCTCTGCTCACCTGCTCCCATCTCTGCTCACCTGCTGTGGGCTCGGCTCACCTGCTCCCATCTCTGCTCACCTGCTGTGGGCTCGGCTCACCTGCTCCCATCTCTGCTCACCTGCTGTGGGCTCTGCTCACCTGCTCCCATCTCTGCTCACCTGCTGTGGGCTCGGCTCACCTGCTCCCATCTCTGCTCACCTGCTGTGGGCTCGGCTCACCTGCTCCCATCTCTGCTCACCTGCTGTGGGCTCGGCTCACCTGCTCCCATCTCTGCTCACCTGCTGTGGGCTCTGCTCACCTGCTCCCATC